AAGGGATAGTTGAGCAAGAGGAGGTTGAAGCACAAATAAGGGAGCAGATGCCAAGGGCTCCAAAGCGTGCTAGTCGGTGTAGCAAGTGTGGTTCCTTTGCTCACACCTTCAAACACTGTACAGTAGATTGAATAGTATTGTTATATAACACATTTAAGTCTCAAAGCAATCTATTAAGTATTGGTTGAGATAATCAGTGTTAAAGGTGGTAGACACGTAATTCGTGGACCACGCCGTGGGGTGGACCGCGCTCTGGTGTTTGACGTTAGATCGACTTTACCATGGACACGAACGGGAGTGCTCGGAATCAATCAAACAGCACTGATCGGTCAGGAAGGACTTAACTGTGAGATGTACGCAGAGCGCATAGCAATCTAACGAGCAGGACATCTGAAAAATAGAGTGGACGTATGAAATGCAATTTGCGATCGACGACAGAGGTCGGATTCTCGAAGGAGACTAAATTCAACACGACAACATCACAGCAGACGATCTTGCATCATAAATCACATGTAAACATAGAGAAAGATCTGCTGCTTAACACGACACTGGGTCTATGTCAAGGCGACTGTGTTGTAGAATGTTAAAGACCAAAATATCTGATGCTGGCTCGTCACATAGGGTGGCTCGCGACGCCCGGAGGGACATTAGCCAATTATTCTGAAGTTGATTGCAGCGAAGATGGCGAGTTTGGGGTTTCATAAGGTAGTGGGTTAGGTTAGGTGGGCGTGCCACCGCCAAGTGCCGGAAGAAGGGACGATGAGTCCTCCCAAGGAGAGAACCTTCGTTGACGAGGACGTCCATCACGACGACGGGTATAGTAATAACCCATCCAGATTCGAGCCAGCATGTATCGTCCATCTAATACGCTCACGGCGCCATCGGACAATAAATCGGGCGTCGGCGGAGATCTCGATTCATTCATTACGTCAAATCTCGCCTCCGCCCACACTTCGCACGCCTCACCCGCCCGCCCGCACGCCCACATTTGATGGCAGCCGGCCCGTTCCCCATCAAATCGGCGGCTGGCCGTCGCAACCACCGCCTGGGCATACGTGGGTCCATGGCCTGATTGCACCGATCAGGCGCGGCGGGATGAGGGAGAGGCTCTCTCTCGCACCACGACACGTATGCACTGTACTTCACATCGCGAGGAGAACGCATATATGGTGGTGGAGGTGGCCGCTCATATGGCAGATCCTGTGCTGTACAGTAATGATAATGATCGTGTATCGGGTTGGGAATGCGGCAGGGACACTGGGTGCGCGTCTCTTCGATCGCTCTCCGTGATATGTAAATCTATATGTATACATATAGATATATACACACACGAATATACAAGCCGAGCAGTCGTGGGCAGCGAGGACGGTACGTACATCTAAAATCCTGGTATCGATCATCCATCATGGTGATGATCATGGAATAACTGAGGACTTTTCCTACGCAAATCAATCTCTCAGCAGACTTGCCTGAGGTTCCCCAGGAGTCCAGTACTCTCTCGTATATACTGCCCGAGGTTCGTTCATCTGGAGTCTCTCTTTTATATATATATATCTATATATATCTATATGTACATACTGCCCGAGGTTCAATCATCGGGGGTCCCTCCTGTACATATCATCTCCCGGTGGTAGACATGCGAGCTCATCAGTGTCGACCGGCACAATGGACAACGAGAAGCCTCCGCCGCATGAAGGTGTAGCGTCGTCAGCCTGCAGCTGCTTACAGCATTAGGCGCGACACCACCACCACCACCACCATGTCGATCGACAGCTCCGTCCGCCGAGCTAACCGGGCCGACCTTCTACGTACGACCGCGAACCATGGACGGTGGATTCCCGCCAAAGCCTTCGACGGCCGACGAGTGCACGTCGGTCTTCTGAACCACGCCTGGTCCGGCGACACTTCACGCTCGAAACCGAACCCATCGGGTCGCGCATCCTCGAAATGTCCTCTCTATCGCTGCTGTCGTCCGTCGTCGCGCCTTCCGTCCTGGCCGTCTCCGTCGTCCTCTACCTCATAAGCCTGCTCGTCTATCGATGGTACCTGCATCCCCTCGCCGGCATCCCCGGCCCCAAGATCGCGGCGGCCACGGGTCTGGTGGAAATGTGGTATGACATTGTCCGAGGCGGGCAGTATGTCTTTCAGCTGGAGAGGTGGCATGCCGAATATGGTAAGTCCTTCGAGCGGGATCGTGGTCACGGCCCCAGCAGACCACCCAGAGCGTCGGAAGAGGGCATCGGCTGGAGATACGTGATCGCAACCTCCAGCAGCCTCGTCAAGACGTGAAAGACGGCGACCAACTCGCAAGGAATGGATTTGATGTATCTGCTCATCTGGTGGAAAGCTTCGCGAGTCAACCTGTCTCTCTCCCTCTCCCTCTCCCCCCTGTTTCTCACCGAACCACGCCAGGTCCGATCATCCGCATCGCCCCCAACCACGTCCACTTCCTCGACCCGGACTTCTTCGACGAGCTCTACTCCATGAAGCACCCCCGGCACATGAAGCTCGCGCACCTCCGCGACCGCTTCAACACGCCCACCTCCATCGGCGACACCCCGGACGCCGACGAGCACGACCGGCACCGCGCCCTCCTCGCCCCCCTCTTCTCGCGCCAGCGCGTCGCCGAGCTCACCGGCTACGTCCAGACCCGCGCGGACAAGCTCTGCGCGAACGTCCTGCGCGCGGCGGCGGCGGGGCCCGCGGTCCGGCTCGACGCGGCCTGGTCGACGTACGCGACCGACAACGTCCTGTGGTACACCCTCTCGCTGGCCTACGATTTCCTGGACTACCCCGACTTCAAGAGTCCCTTCACCGAGGCGACGGGGAAGCTGCTCTGGTCGATCCATTGGCTGACACATTTCCCGGGCCTGATGAAGCTGTTCAATGCCATCCCGCATGAATACGTGGAGAAGCTGAGTCCGGACATCGGGGCGATCTTCGGGTTTCAGAGGGTATGTTTCTCCCCTCGTTCTGTCGATCCCTCGGGGGGTTTCAAAACTCTACGTGTCAGGCCATGAGAGGTCTCGACGTCTACGGAATCACCGCTGATGGTACAACCTGTGCCCCAAAAGGAAGTTCGCGCCCAGATCCACCGCGTCATCGACGGCGAGAACGACGGCCACCGCTTCGTCCAGCACCGCACCGTCTTCCACGAGATCTCCCAAGTGGTGGGCCGCGACGCCGCCGCCATCAAGATGATGTAAGCACCGGAGTCTCACCTGCCACACCTACCCTATTCCTCGCCTCGTCGAGCCGTGGCCCGGGCGGGTCCCGAAAGAGAGATGCAGCTGACGTTCAGCGGGGGACAGGGAAGACGACGGCGTCAGCATCACCCTCGCCGGCATCGAGACGTCCGCGCGGGCCGCCTCCGTCATCAGCTTCTGGGTCCTCAAGAGACCCGAGATCCGAGCCCGACTGCAGGCCGAGCTCGAAGCGGCGATCCCCGATCCCGACCACATGCCCGCTCTGGCCGAACTGGAGAAACTGCCATATCTGAACGCCGTATTACAGGAAGGTAAGCCTCACACAGATGCGACATGCACGGGACGGGGCCGCCATGGGAAGGATCTGCCCCCCAATCACTCTCACGTGTCCTGAATTGCTAAGATAAAACTCCCCGAACGAAAACAGGTCTCCGCCTCGGCTACGGCGTCTCCAACCGGCTGTCGCGCTACAACCCCCAGATCCCCATCCGCTACGGCCAACACGTCCTCCCGCCCTACACCGTCTTCTCCATGACGCCCGCGCTCCAGCACCGGAACGCCAGGGTCTTCCCCGAACCGCTCTCCTTCCACCCCGAGCGCTGGCTGCTCGCCCCATCGTCGTCGTTGTCGTCGTCCACCACCAACCCGCCCTTGTCGAAGTACCTCGTGCAGTTCTCCAAGGGCCCGCGGAACTGCATCGGCATGCACCTCGCCACCGCCGAGCTGGTGATCGGCATCGCGACGTTCGTGAGACGGCTGGGCCATCGCTTGGTCCTGGACGACGGGGTCGGGGAGGCGGTCGTCGACCTGGGGAGTGACTACATCGCGGCCGTCGCCAGCGATGTGGCGGGGGGGTTGAGGGTGAGGCTCGTCTCGGATTGAGCGGTGTCTGATGATGAGGGGATTGCGGGGGTGGAAGACGACGGGCGCTCGGGGCGCGGCGCCGGTCGCGTCCCGGATCCCTCGTCCGCATTCGTGTATAGTCTATCGTTGTTGTTGTTGTAGGCCGGTACGAAGTTAAGTGTGTTCACGGGCACGTAGAGACATGGACTCGAGATTTCACACCCTGGTCAGGGACATGGCCCGGTTTCTGGGACGCTGCGGATGCAGGCTCCCCGTGTCCCCCGCCTCCCTCTCGCGCGTCAGGAATGAGGCGAGTCTGGTCTTCACATCTCGCACAAACCTTGACCTCCCCGTTGGTCGACGGCCTCCGCGAGATACGCCGGCGTGACTGTCCTGGCCGGCCGTCGACGGTGGTGTTCCGCTGTGTCCATCGTGGGACCCGGCATCGATGTCCTCCCTCGCGAGCAGTAGTTTCACGACGGCCAGGTGCCGATTCCGCGTGGCGTGCGACAGCGGCGTGTCGCCGTACATGTCCCGCCGGTTGACATCGATGCCTGGCTTCGCGAGCAACCGCCCCACGACGCCCACGTGGCCGTTCTGCGCGGCGCAGGAGAGCGGCGTCCTGCCCAAAACATCGCCCAGGTTCACGTCGATGTCGCTTTGTGAGAGGAGCAATTCGACGACGGCGGAGTGGCCGCCACACGCGGCCTTGACAAGCGGCGGCTCGACATCTCGGTCGCCAAACGCGTTGACATCCGCGCCGTGATCGAGCAGCAGCTTCGCCATGCTGGCTTGGCCTCCCGCCGATGCCGCCTGCAGTGCGGCTTGCGTGTCGAACACCGCGCCGCTCTTGAGCAGCAACTTCGCCGATCCCATGTCGCCATTCGCTGATGCCACCCGCAGAGCCTTTTCCATGTCGGCGTTCGGCCTGGATTCAAGCGGCAGTTTCCTGGCCTCTGACGCCTTCTGTACTTCCAATCCCCGCGGGTCTTGGAGGACAGCTAATACTGCGGGGTGGTGAAAAGGAAGCGGCGCTCCGGCCGGTTCATCTGTGCGCACAGATTTCGTGTTCGAGCTTGTCGCCACAGTTGTTCCCGGGTGACTCTCGCTCTCAGCATCCATGTTCGCATCCGTTAACAGCGCGTCATCCTGGTCTGCGTTCCAATCCGGTGAGCGCCGGACCAATGCTTCGACAGTCGCCCGGAGAGTTGAGTATGAACGACGGTAGTCGGGCACGATCGCTCGGCCCTCCTCCTCATCTACAAGACTCAGGATCGCATAGACTCTGTCGTGAGGTATGGTGTATTCGCGTTTGCCAGTCTGGCGCAAGCGGGTGAGCAGCGGCAAGCGGACAATAGCATCATTTCGCTCCTTCCAGACATCGAGCAGCTGTTGGACGAAGTGCAGATTCTCCTGTAATGAAGTGCGACGATGCAGATGATCATATGCCCGTTGGTACCGCTGAACGATGGCGGTCCAGCGCTCGACGAAATCCTGCAGCGAGATTTCCTTCTGCGCAAGTGAAACAACCGGACACTTCTCGGCATAGGCACACTCCTGGACGACCCATAAGCGCCTCCACCACGCATGCTCTTGTTGACACAGAGCCCAAATAACGTCGTCGTCGTCGACACCCACGTAGTCATCCATACCGAGCCAGATTCGGACTTCATCCGCCTGGCTGTAGATTTGCGCCATGATTTGGACTTGCGCCGTGCGCTCGAGGTCGTTTTCTTGGTTGATGCATATGGCATCGACCCAGACGTCGACGCAACGTTCTTGATCTCGTAGATGGCGAAGCGCGGCATGCAGATGAGGGGAGATGTTCAGACTCGTTCTGCCGGCTCTGAGAAAGACGGTTTGGGTTTTCGCATGGGTGCCCCAAGAGTACGATAACGCGATGTAGGATATGTTTCCCTCAAATACCGGTCGTACGATGAGATCACCCTGGATCGGCAGCTCCCTCGTGCCCGGTCGAAGGCGAAGCAAACGAAGCCGTGGGCCTTCAAGATCGCGTTCTAGAGTGAGGGCGTTCCCGTACACAAAGTGGGTGGGTGTTTGACCGTTTGCATGGCCAGACCGCTCCGGCAGATACTGCGCTGGGTATTGCTTCAACCAGCTAGGACTGGCCGCGGCATCGTCAGCCGGATGCCCGTCATCGTCCCCGAGCTCATCGTTGGCTTCATCGTCAGATTCCGTCGGGTGCAAAACTTGCTCAGTCATCAGGGATGAAGCCTCAATGCCACAACTCGAAAGATGTTGTTGTTGTTGCTGCGAAGAATGACATGGAGATGTTCAAAGTCGTTGTGTATTGATTTCTTCTCATCTGCCGGCGGAGGCTGAGCGACGTAGATATGTTCCTCGCCCGCCTGCATGGGTTTGGTCGTTCGCCGTCCGATGCTTTGCACAGCCTCCAGCGCATGTCAATCAATCGCGCTAAGCGAAGCGCATTGCCATCAGCAGAATTGCGACGGAAACGAGGTCCAAACGTCAAGGACGCAGATGGTGTGACATCGCAATATTTCGCCTTGCGTGGGGATGTTCATGATGAATTCCACGGGGGATGCCGAGACCGAACGAGCTGCTGAAGTTGCAGGACGTGTCTGTCGCTCGCGTTCGCGGTGGAGGGCCTGTAATGACTGTCGCCGAGTTTCTGCAGCTCCATCAACGGAGAACCCTAACAATATTCGAGGACACCCTGCGCCTGCGCCTGGGCGTCTGCGATTCAGATTTCGCACGCTGGAATTGAGGAGTCACTCGTTAGACATCGCCGCTTCTTGCAATGCCCGGAATATCGAATGTAAGAACGGGGTTTTTTCTTCGATCCGCCCAACTCGGGCGCGTGCAACCTGCCTTGAGCCCAACGCACAGATTTTATCTACATATTTGGGCGACTAGACTGCCGCGCACAGAAGTTGTCCATCATGTCAGCTTTTGCTCTTCCTCCATCTGCTGGGAGAATGCTCAATTCACAGGGTGTTACGACTGCCCACAGTTGCCACTATTACATCTGGCGATGGCGGGTAGGCAGTTCGCGTCCGTCACATGTCAGCGCCCAGCGCGAGGGTATCGTGATTTGCTAAGTCCATGCATCCCGAAGAGCCTTCGAGGATGAATTCCTTGCGGAGGCTGAAGTTATTTCAAAGGTCTGGAGCTGCAGGGGCCTCCTCAAGAGAGACGCTACCAACTCCAGCGGCAACATTATTGGTCTGGTATAGCCTCGCCACCCTCTGCTTGACTTCCGTGACCAGGTTGTTCAATTCAACCAAGACGCCATCCTTCTCAGGATGACCCTCAGCCAGACCCATCTCCTTGATCTTACATTGCCCAGCTGCGAGCTCCTCCTCCCCGAGGATGACAGCGAAAGGCACGCCGTTCTGCTCGGCGGCTTTGAACTGCTGCGGGAGTTTCGGCTTGACTTTCCAGCTGAATTCGGCTTTGATGCCTGCGTCCCAGAGCGTCCGCGCGACGTCCATTCTTTGCGGCAGTAGACCGTCGAAACCTTTGCCACCAAACGCCATGACGTAGACGTCCACCTCGTTGGTGCGGATCGGTGCGGATGTGGACTCCGCTGCTAGACGCTGCTTGGTGATGCTGAAGATTCGATCTACGCCAAAGGAAATGCCGACACAGGGGATCTGTTGCTTGCCGCTGAACATGCTGACGAGGTTGTCATATCGCCCGCCAGCGGCGACGGAGCCCACGCCGACGGTAGGATCGTTGGAGCGATCCTCCTCGCCGTCGGTGGGCTTCTTCGGTTTGGATGATTCCTTCTTGGCTGCGCCGCTCTGTGATTTTTGTGGTGCGGAGCCTTCCGTGACGACCTCGTAAATGACACCGGTGTAGTAATCCAGCCCGCGAGCCAAAGACATGTCGAACGAGAGACGATCCAGGACGCCGAAGGAGCGGAGGTAAGTAAAGAGGAGCGCCATGTCATCCAGACCAGCCTTGGCCGACTCATTCGCTGAGAGCTTCTCGTCTGTTTGCAGTTGTTGTAGCAGGTCCTCCCCTCCCTTCTTCACAACGTACTCGCCGATCTTGTCGGCCACCTCTGCGTCCAATCCTTTGTCCTCGGTCATCTCTCTCCGGACTTCCTCCCAAGGTGATTTGTCCAATTTGTCCACCGCCGAGGAAATCGTCCGGATTTTGTCTGTCGGCACCCCACAGACTTGGAAGATGCCATCAAGGATTTTTCGGTGGTTGATCTTTATGGTGTATTTACCGTCCCATCCTAGCGACTGGAAGATCTCACACGTGATCCGAATGATTTCCGCATCCGGGAGCATAGGATCGTAGACGCCGGCGATATCGAAGTCGCATTGGTAGAATTCCCGCATGCGCCCTTTGGTCATCGCAGGCTGATCCCGTCGGTAGACCTTGGCGATGTGGTATCTCTTGATGCTCTGCACACTCGAGTTCATGGCGAGCCATCGCGCAAAGGGGACCGTCAAGTCGTATCTCAGCGAGCAGAGCTCACCACCCTGATCCGCGAGGTCGTAGATGAGTTTGCTGTCCTCGCCGTATTTCCCTGACAGGATTTCCTTCAATTCAAAGACTGGTCTGTGGCCCACGTGTCAATCAATGTCTGCAGAATCATGGGTCCGAGAGGTTGACCAACGTATCAATTGTGACGGCGCCGTGCCGCTTGAAGACGTCGGTGATGGAACTGAAGATCTTGTCGCGAATGACCATGTCTCTGCCATCCCAATCTTTGGTTCCCTTGGGGACCTTCAATTGGAAGGCACCCTTGCCATCCTTCTCTTTCCCCATGGTGGTACGACGTGGTAACGCTTCCGCGGACAACGATCGGCGCGTGAGCGGATGATTGGGAGGGATAGGACGTGTCGTGGAAAGGCGGAATGGTGGATGATTACAGCCAGGACATGAGGCGCGAGCACGAAGCAGAAGACTGAAAGCGGGAGTCATAAAAAAAGGAATGGCATCACCAGCGGCTGCTAGCTTCATGGGTACTGTACAATATGGCTGTGACCTGCCTAGAGGGATATGGTGGTGGTGGTGGTAATGGTGGGCTGTTGCTCCCACCAGCCAGCCAGCGAAACATTTTCCTGTGCATGCACCACGCGTTTTGGGCCGGCTGTTGACAGTGACGCATTCCCCTCCCGCTGGGAGAGTGGGCAATTTGCATGGAATCGACTGTGGGCACGCCTGCAAACGCCGCCCCGCAGCCAGAATTTGGGATCTTTGGCCGTCTCCCACCGCAACTGAGGAACCATGCGGCATCATCAATATGGTGCACCGTAGTCCCATCATTGACGTCCCCCAAGCCTTCGGGAAGCCAGCCGAGAGAGCGACTGTCCCTCACGTAATGTTCAGCGGCTTCTCATCTCCCTCTTGATGTGGACTTGTCCGAGATGTGATGGCTACAAATTCCGCCGCCAAGGCGGTCAATACTCGCGAAATCGCCGACAAGGCGAAGAGAGAACTGCTTCGATTGCTGGAGTCGGTACGCTGACATGAACGCGCCCATCACCGCCGCCAAACTCAGACTGGTACTGACTGCCGTCGTGCACAGGTTCGAGGGAAGAAGAATCTCGTCATCGAGAAGTCGCTGGCCGGCACCATTGGCTTGATTGTCAAGTTCAGCGAACTCCAACAATATGGCGTTGAGAAACCTTTCTTTCTTGAGAATCACAACATCGATTCGAGCCAGAAGAACATAGTTTTCATGGTCCGAGGCGAGAGTGCAAAGAAGATTCGTATGGTCGCAGGTAGGTCACGATCAGCTCCAACCAGTGCCCTTCCTCCGACGCTCCTGCCCCATGGGATCTTAAAGTAGAGTACGCGGACATTCTGCTTCCACGCCGTGTATTCAGTCTTGATCCCGAGATTGAAACAACATGATCAATATCATCGCATGTCTCATTACCTTGGCATACTATACCATAGAGCGCAGGGCATCAGAATCGTGCAGACATATCAACACTTCGACCTGTGACTTCTCGTTCTTGGTCAAGAACTAATATCCCAGTAGAGCAGATCAAACTCGTCCGCAGCGAAAGCCAAGTCAATCACGAGTTCACGATCATCTGGGTTCCGCGGCGCACTCTCGTCAGTAATGCGATTCTGGAGGAGCATGGCGTGCTTGGCGATGCTGTCATCTCGGAATTATCTCTGCATTTCGTGCCACTCGAGCAGGATCTGCTATCCCTGGAGCTCGACACCTCTTTCAGTGAGCTCTACTTGAGGAAGGATCCGACGAGCATCTTTGCATCGGCGCGAGCACTGATGCTGCTTCAGAAGCAATACGGCCTCTTTCCGCGCATGCTCGGCAAGGGCGACGATGCGAAGCGCCTGATCGACCTGCTTCAACGGATGCGAAGTGAAGAGGATGTGGAGACCTCGTCAGGATCCAACAGCCAATATCTCGGCTCCTTCAGTCTCACACCCAGCGCGCTGATAGAACATCTTGTCGTCATTGATCGATCGATTGACTTTCCTACTGCGCTAGCTACCCAACTCACGTATGAAGGATTGATTGACGAGGTGTTTACGATCAGTAATAATACCGCAGAAGTGGAGTCATCCATTCTAGACGGAGCATCATCGGCAGCGGCGCAAGCGAGCGAGTCAGCAGCCACGCCGACTTCCGCGACCAAGAGGAAGATTCTCCTCGACAATACTGACAAACTGTATCCCGAGCTCCGGAACGGCAACTTTGCGACCGTCGGTCCTGCACTGAATCGTGCTGCGCGAAGGCTGGCGTCTGACAACGAGAGCATGCACAATAAAGATCAATCCGTAGCCGACCTCAAGAACATTGTTCAGAAGCTTCCGGCTTATCAAGCCGAAACGGCTAGCGTCAAGATCCATACGAGTCTTGCAGGTCAAATCATGGAAACGACTCGCGGGGATGGCTTCGGTCGGATGCTCGAAGTTCAACAAAACCTCCTCGCCGGCACAGATCCGACGAGTCTTCACGAAAACATCGAGGAACTCATCGCTCGAGGGTTTCCCATCGAGACGGTGTTGAGACTGCTGTGCATAGAGAGCTGTCTTTCGAACGGAATCCGTCAACGCGAGCTCGACCTCTTCAAACGTCACGTGCTTCAAGCTTACGGCTATCCGCACACCCTGACCTTGGCGAATCTGGAGAAGATGGGTTTGCTCATCACACGCGAGAGCCATCGTGGCTACCTTAATCCTATCGCCGGATCGACTGGACAAACTGCTACTGATTACGCTGGCGTGCGCAAGGGTCTACATCTATGGGTTGACGAGGTACGCGAGACGGATCCGGACGACGTAGCCTACGTCTTCAGCGGGTATGCTCCCCTCACGGTCCGGCTCGTGCAGGCCCTGCTGCAAAAGTCTTACCTGCAGAACATCATAAGCGGTGCTCGCACTGCCACGGCGCCGGTCGCTACCGCCCCCACAGGCACTGGCTGGAAAGGATTTGATGACGCTGTCTCCCGCATCAGGGGCGCGACCGTCGATGTCTCGCAACGTGGGAGCGATGCAGATGCTGCGCACGCTCGCAAGACGTTACGCAGCAGCAAGGAGGGCCCGAAGGTAACCATCGTCTTCTTCCTGGGGGGCATCACATATGCGGAGATTGCGGCATTGAGATTCATCAGTAAGCAATTAGAAGAAAGCATGGGAAGGTCAATTTTGATTGCGACGACGGGAATCGTGAGCGGCAAGAGAATCATCGACGGCGCCTTGGAGAAGAGGAAGTTTGGTGACGATGAGTAAAAGGAGGGACGAAAGCATCAATGTTGTTCTCTCTGCATTTAGTCGTAGCGGAAGAAAGCGCTGTACCTACCTAGGGTCCCGTCAGGAATTTATACATACACGACCAGAGGGTGGTCCGTGACTTTTCCCGCCGCGGCGTAACCTCCGGCAAACAAATTTAATGGATTGGATCCCGTCTGTAGTCACATTGATGACTCAAATGCCCACTTCTGAGGGCCCCCAGACCCCTCACTCAATGCGATGGAGTCATACCTGCTGCCCCAGGGAACGACTATTATAAAGCTTAACCAAAAATATTGCATGTGGTCACGCACACAGTCACGAATAGCTCTTTCGAGTCCCGCCAATGCAGCCAGCAAAAGGCACGCCAGCTTCGTGACCACCTCCCGCCTACCGACTATATCTACTGCCAGACCACTCCGTGTTCATCGACACAAGATACTACGGCTTTCGCTTCTTCGGCGCAACCTGCATGTGCCTCGCTGGGTCCACCAGCGTTCTTTTCATCTCAACATGGCTCTAAACCACGCCTCCCACAATCCGACCGGAGAGAAGACCGGACCGGCCACTGGACCTCCGCCTGCACCCTCCACCGAGACCAAGTCGGCGATCCTAGAATCAGCCAACGCCGACGGGACCGGCCACAGCAATGTTGGCAAGGACGGCGGGGACAAGGACGCCCCTGTCAAGGAGAAGAGCGAACGCGAACTCGCCAAGGAGAAGGCAAAGGCGGAGAAATTGGCGAAACTAGAAGCGAAAAAGGCCAAATTAGAACAGCAGAAGGCGGCATCACAACCGAAACAGAAAGAGAAGAAGCAGCAGGAAAAGCTCGCACCTTACGTCGAGGAGACGCCCGTGGGTGAGAAGAAGATCCTGAAGCCGCTCGACGATGACTACCACAAGGCATACATCCCCTCCGTGGTAGAGAGTGCTTGGTACGATTGGTGGGAGAAGGAAGGTCTCCACAAGCCCGAGTTCAAGGCCAACGGAGATGCCAAGGATGCGGGCGTGTTCGTGATCCCAATCCCGCCGCCCAACGTCACTGGAGCACTCCACATCGGACACGCCCTGGCGACATCACTTCAAGATGCTATGATCCGGTGGGAACGCATGAAGGGCAAGACTGTGCTTTACCTCCCAGGCTGCGACCACGCCGGTATCTCGACACAAAGCGTAGTGGAGAACATGCTGTACAACCGCAGGAATGGCACCACCAGGCACGATCTTGGCCGTGAGAAATTCGTGGAGACCGTGTGGGAGTGGAAAGAAGATTACCACATGCGAATCAACAAAGTCATGAGGCGTCTGGGTGGATCCATGGATTGGACGAGAGAAGCTTTCACCATGGACGAGAATCTTTCCGCTGCCGTGCGGAAGACCTTCATAGACCTGCATGACGAGGGACTGATTTATCGGGGCAACAGACTGGTCAACTGGTGTTGTAGGCTAAGCACAGCCCTTTCAACTCAGGAGGTAGACGACAAAGAGCTGGAGGGCTCTACCAAGATTGATGTTCCTGGCTACGACAAGAAGATCGAGTTCGGCTCCATCTGGAATTTCAAATACCAGGTTGACGGCAGTGATGAAACGATCGAAGTTGCCACCACACGTCCCGAGACCATGCTTGGAGACACCGGTGTCGCTGTGCACCCTGAAGACAAGCGGTATCAACACCTGCTCGGCAAATTCGTCAAGCATCCTTTTGTCGACAGAAAACTACCCATCTTTGGCGACGCGACTGTCGAGATGGACTTTGGTACCGGTGCCGTCAAGATCACTCCCGCTCACGACCCCAACGATTACAAGCGGGGCAAGGATTTCAACTTGGAGTTCATCAACATTCTCAACGATGATGGTACATTCAACGAGAACGCCGGTCCTTTCGCAGGCCAGAAGCGATACGACGTACGATACACTGTCATCGAAGAGTTGACTAAACTGGGCCTGTACGTTGGCAAGGCAAGCAACAAGATGATAATCCCGCTTTGCAGCAAGTCCAAGGATGTCATTGAACCCGTGCTGAAGCCCCAGTGGTGGATGAGCATGAAACCTCTCATCCCACCTGCGAGGGATGCGGTTGAGAATGGCGAGATTCTCATCAAGCCTCAGAGTGCACGGGACGAGTATTTCCGCTGGCTAGATCGCATGGACGACTGGTGTCTATCGCGTCAATTGTGGTGGGGCCATCAGATTCCTGCTTATTACGTGAAACTACAAGACGGCCCTGTGTACGACTCGGATGCCAATTACTGGGTCTGTGCTGAGACGGAGGAAGCTGCTCGTCAGAAAGCCGAGGAGAAGTTCCCTGGGAAGTCTTTCACACTTGAGCGAGATCCTGACTGTCTCGACACCTGGTTTTCGTCCGGTCTTTGGCCATTCTCTACCCTGGGCTGGCCCAACAAGACACATGACTTTGAAAAGCTTTATCCGACATCGATGCTCGAGACCGGTTGGGATATTTTGTTTTTCTGGGTCATTCGGATGATTATCCTTGGACAAAAGATGACGGGTAAGATACCCTTTGACGAGGTCTATTGCCACTCTTTAGTGCGCGACTCGGAAGGACGGAAAATGTCCAAGTCGCTAGGAAATGTCATCGATCCGATCGATGTTATGGACGGCATCACCCTGCAGGCCCTCACAGACAAGCTCAAGCTTGGAAACTTGCCACCGTCAGAAATTGAAAAGGCCGCCAAGTGGCAGAGGTCTGCTTTCCCAGACGGCATCGACGAGTGCGGTACTGATGCGCTACGCTTCTCGCTCATCAACTACACTACGGGTGGTGGTGATATCAATTTCGACGTCAAAGTCATGCGAAGCTGGCGAAACTTCTGTAACAAGATCTACCAAGCCACCAAGTACGTCCTCGGCAATCTCCCCGAGGATTTCACGCCCCAAGCAAAGGGCGGCAAGACCGGGAAGGAGAGTCTTCCTGAGCGATGGATCCTCCACAAGATGACCACTACAGCACGCACTATGAACGAAGCTCTTGCGAAGCGCGAATTCAGCCGCGCTACGCAGGCCGTCCACAACTACTGGCAGTATGAGCTATGTGACATCTACATTGAGAACAGCAAGTCCATCATCCGTGAGGGTACCCCGGAGGAGAAACAATCTGCCATTGACACCCTCTACACTGCGCTCGAGGCTGCCCTCACGATGATCCACCCATTCATGCCTTTCCTTACTGAGGAGCTTTGGCAACGCCTGCCCCGCCGGCCCAGCGATACCACCAAATCCGTTGTCGTTGCCTCATACCCGCAGTACGACTCCGCTCTCGACGACCCGACCTCGGAACGCGCCTACGAGCTCCTCAACGGCTGCGCCAAGGCCATCCGCTCTCTGTTCGCAGAATACGGCATCAAAGAGAACGGTAAGGCCTTCGTGCAACCTCTCAACGCCGAAGCGCAGGCGACCGCCACTGCGGAATCCGCAGCCATCAAATCCCTCGCAGGCAAAGCCATCGCCGAACTCTCCCTCCTCGGCCCCGAGGACTCCATCCCGCCCGCATGCGCCGTCTACCCGGTCTCCGTCGCCGTTGCGGTGTTCGTGCAGCTCCCCAAGGAGAATGTCGATGCGGACGCGGAGATCAAGCGCACAAAGGCCAAACTGGCGAAAGCAGTGGACGCGGTGCGCGCCCAGGAGAAGGAGATCACCAGCCTCGGCGCAGATGTGGCTGGGGAGGTCCGGGAGAAGAGCGAGGCGAGGTTGCGCGACGTGAGGAACGAGCAGAGGATGTTTGAAGAGAGCATCGCGAGGTTCGAGACGTTGAAACTTTAGGCAACGAAGAAAGAAGTCGAGGACAAATACGAGATCTGGAGGATATCTCCGCGGTTTACTCGGGCCTCACAATAGGAGAGGTGCAGAGGAAATGGTTTTCTTGACCCTGCGGGATTGATGTTTCGTCTTTTGTTTTCTGGTAGATAACGGATGAAAAGGCCGTGCAGTTTTTGCGATGAACTTGAGGCAGTGTAGTTGTCATGATCAGTTCCAATCCACCCACAGAGCCAGCAAAGACGAGACTCGGTACGTTGGCGTTTGCTCATGTTACGTTGAAACCATAGGTGTGACGGCGGGTCTGAACAATAGTCTTGTCAACTGTTCGAAATATGTTTTTCATTCTCGCATCTTCTGCTTCCGACCGACAATGCAAAGACCCCAGGGTATCTATCGTGAAGACCAAAAAGCCAGATCATGCAAGCAAAACTCCATGCTATCCGTATGCCCAGAAAACCCGACCAAGACAGAGTGCTAGGGTCGGGGAGAGAAACAAAAGCCGAAAGCCCATCGGCCTACATCTCACGAAATCCCGACTACTCCTCTTCCTCTTCCTCCGTATCGTCGTCTTCGTCGTCGACAATCTCCACCCGTCGGCCCATGCTCTCCAACACCCGCGCGTAGAACTTTTGCGCGTGTTGCCTCGGGAAACAGATCTCCTCGGTGAGATAGTCCGGGAGCAGAGACAACAGCTCCCGATCGCGGCTGGGGTCCAGTAGAGGCTCATAGGCGAACTCGGTCTCCTCGTAGGACACCGTGGTGGGGAGCGGGGTGGACTTCGATTGGGGCGTGGTCCCGCCGGGCATGGAGGTTAGAGCGTCGTGGGCGAGGGTGAGGTGGAAATGCAATGCTGCGGGGCGTACGATGTCAGTATATACGGCGAGTCTTCCGCTCCGGGGTGGGTAGAGGCGCCGCCGGGAAACACGTCGGAGAGGAAAGGAAAAAACTTACTGCCGTTGCGTCCCGTCTGGATGCAATCGTACACATCTTCCCCCTCGAGCCTCTTCACGTTCCGGATGATCAATCCCGTCAGGTCCGAATACAGGTCCTCCTTCATCTTGGCCTCACGCTGGGCCTCCGCCGCCGTCGACGCCAGGATCGGCGCCGCATGCCTGCCGCCGCCCGGATTCCTCGCAGCGGCGGCTTCCACCAGCGTTTTCGTCTCGGCGAGTTGGGTGGCGATCTGCTGCCGCGCGGCGAGCAATTTGGCCTCGAGGGCCTTGTTCTCGTTCTGTGAGAGATGCAGCTGTTTCCGGGCGTCGTCGCGCTCAGAGGTGAGGGCTGTTTGTGAAGTTTGGAGGGCGGCGAGTTGGGTCTGGTATGTCGCGGCTTCGGAGTTGGTGGATGCGGAGGCTTTCCGGCTGTCGGCGAGTTCCTTCTTCAGGGACGCGATCAGGTCGTGTGCGTCGCGTGATTTCTGGTCGCTGGCGGCTTTCAGTCGGGTGAAGTTGCGCTCGGCGTCGATCTTGCCAATCTCTTCGAGGCTGGAGTAGCGCGCTTGCAGGTCCTCGTACTTCTTCGTCACGTCGTTGAGAGCCCTCCGGAGTTCCGGATCGCCACCGCGCCGGTCGAGGGCAACTGCGCTATTGCTCCGTTCCCGTTGTGGAATGTATGCGAGCGGGACGGAAGGAGCGCGACCGCTCGGACGCGGTTGCAGAGGGAGTTGTGCAGTAGCGGGCGCGCGTTGCACGAAGCGCGCTGCAAGAGGCGGCGTGGGAACGCGTGCGATGTCCATGGCTTCGGGGTCCACTTCAATCGACTGCTCGATATCCTCCGTCTCTTGCGGATCAGGCTGTGTCTCTGGTATGGTCTTGAGCGGCTCTGGCGGTGGCTGAGCAGCTTTCGCCGGACGGCCTCTTTTCGCGCCCGTCGCTGTCTTCGCCGCGGGTTTGCGCGCTGCACCGGTCTTCGCGCGCTTCGCCTTGGTTGTCGCAGCTTCAGTCTCCATCTCGTCCTCGAACGCCTCGACCTCCTCGGTGTCGCTACCCGCTTGTACGTTTGTCTTGTCCTGTAGAGCCTGCCGTGGCTTGCGCGGCGCTGCGACTTTGCGCTTGGTTGCGGTGTTTCCAGCGCTGGTGCGGCGCGCGGTCGACTTGACCGACTTGGATTTGGTTGCCTTGTTCGAGGTTTGATTCTGGTCACCGGTCATGGTCCCGAGTGGAGTGGTAGCCAGGTCGTCTTCACTGTCTGAACCTCCACCGGCTCGGGCGTTGTTCGCTAGCAAAGCTGTGCGCGGGGCCATCGTGGAAGGAAATACCCAGCAACTCTTCTGGAGTTCTCGGTGTGTTTATGCGTTGATCGTGCTCTGCTGCTATGTATTGTACCGAGTATGCGACGTCAATGCTGCTGTGCGACGTGTTGACATTACGTCGCGAGGTGGATTTGTTTGTTTACATGCGCACAGGTCTCAAGTGGGACTAGTGCGGGCTTCTGCTGATGCCTCAGGCATCAACGAGCAACGACGACTGGCTTACATCTCTCGTCACTCTTCACACGCGAGAGACGTCCATGCGCGCAACACGTCAGCGCTCTGTGCTATCGTGCACACGATGTCCTCTCACCGACACCCACAGAGTATATTTCTACCTGCGAGTGAACAAAAGTTGGCAAGGAGAACGGTGGCCTGGCTGATTGTCTACTCTGGTGACTAGATTGATCTCGTCTTGTCAATAACCGGCTGAGCATCCCGCGATGCCGACCGTCAAGACCATTCCCACATTTACATCCCTGTTGCAGAAGAACATGCATTGGCATCAAGGCGTGCAAGGATACGTAACAGACGAGAAGTGACCGCTCATCATCATGTTTAATTCTGCCCTTCCCCTCACATATTCCCACGCACAATGGCGCATGAATCGCGTTTTCCTTTTCCGGAACCTGTAGCCGGCGGATTCATCACTTTGTGAGCAACACATGCCCACACACAACACTGGACATCGAGCGACGCCGGTGGAGAAGTTACAGTGTCGGTGAGGAGGCAAAATGGCTACGCGCTACAAAAGGATTGACAACCTCAGTCTTTATTTCCGATGTGATGCCGCAGAATCCCACGTGCCTCATATCCCGTCAAAGGAAATTCGGCTGTGCGCAAATGTAGGATGGACGCTCCTTGTGGCATCCGCGAGCAGATACAAGGATGATTATCACATGACGAAGGCAGACGGCGCTCAGGATCACCAGTACCACTTGGGGGCCTGGTACTCGGCGGACAAGTGGACGGTCGTAGTATGTAGATGCCCCGACCGGGCGATGATTGCAGGCTACGTAGCACCACTTTCTTGGGGCGTGATGGACAGCAAGGTGGAATTCGAAGAACGCGAGGACGACGTTCTGTCATCAATGCGTGCGGCGTCGTGTTGAGCGGCAAGGGACCGTACCGTGTGACAAGTAGATTGTTATCCTGCTCTCTCTCTTCTTGAAGCACGCACAGTATGCCACATTGCATTCGAATCCGTCTCTGTCACGTCACAGCCCATAGGTGTCCAAGTGGTTGGATGGACAGGCCGACGCAGAAGTGCGCATGGGGAACGTATGTGCATGGGATTGGTTGGGAAATGCCTTCAATCGGCCGCATTTCAAAGGCCGACGCCACCGGTCAGCTGGAATGGTGTTCCATCATGTGTAAAGGATCGCATGCCATGCACAGTGGCCGGCTCGACAGTCCTGCCGACCGACAGCTGGGAGAGCCCGTCGCCCGGAAGTGCATGCATGAAGACGGACGCGACAGGCAACACGGAAACGACGCGATGCCGCCAGTCTCTGTGGCGGTTGAAGGGCAGACGGCCGCGTCGTGAATAGCACGACAAAGAAGGCACGTGTGGTTAATGGTGGATATGTTGGGCATCGAGCAGATGAATTACCCGGCCGTGGGGCGTACACGGACGAGATAGACTGGTTCTTCTCCATCTGGCCGCCTTTCGCAGGACAGCTCCCTGTCGAAGATCGAAGCAAACGCTCCTCATCGCAAGGTGAATTATGTTCGTCTTTGGGTGAGGTCGCTGCAGGTGGACGAAAGCAGACGAGGAATTTCCTCGTCGGGATTAGCGAGGCAGCAAGCGCGCCGGGGAATTTCATGACCCGCAGGACAAGCGGCGAGCGGATTGCCCGGGGAAGCTGAGCCAGTCGCGCTACCTGCCACGGCTTGCATGTACCCACGACCGCCGTGCATCTGCGACGCAGGCAAGTGTGAATCGAGACCCAGCGAACAATCCAATATGTCCGCAGCGGCGTCATCCTGCCTGCATGTGGCCCATTCCAATCGTTAATCCTTGGTACCGAATGGGACCTGGGACCCGGGACATGTTCCGAGGAGACCGAGCAAGGGAATGGGAAATCTCTTCATGCTGGTGGGACCATGGCCACGGAATTTCCTGTGAAAATCCTGCCGGCCGGTCTTTTTTTCTTTTGGAGGACTCGTATTGGTCGACTTCATGTGTACCCCCGAGCGAAGGAGGCGCATCCCCATCAGGGTAATGTTACCTGTGTCCCTGATGCTGATTGGTCACGAGTCACCCGAATGTGCATCTTTTTTTTTCACGCCGCTGTTCCATGGAAGATCGAGGCCAAGCACGGCACGAAACCGATGCGCACAGTAAAAGTAGCAAGGTCGAAACGAATGGCATCGCGTACGGTAGCGATGGTAAAGTCTCGTCGTCGTTGATCGTGTATCATCAAACAGAGATGTGGAGTCTTCCTGGAAGATCATCGCCATGATTGTCCCGTCCCACGTTCAGCCCGAAATATACCCGTTCGTCACCAGCGCAGTCCAGTGCAGTGCCGTGCAGTGCAGTGCCCGAGCCTGCACCTCCGTGATGGAATCTTGCGCATTCTCTCCACTTCACCTCATCGCCGCTGGCGGGTTCAAAGTGCAGCCTACCGTTCTTCGCTCGGCTGGAACGCTCATCGATCACGAATGCAAGACGACTACTGTATACCCAGGTAGCAAGGACAAAGGGATGGCCGCTCGGCTTGCACATGTGCACGACATGGACTGGTCAGTCGCCACGTTTGCTTGTGACCACAGGCCATGCTCTCGGTCCTACACACCTTCCTCGCCTGCTGTGCTGCTGCTCCCGCCGCTCCTGCGTCGCCGACAATGCGGTGGATCCATGCACGCCTCGTACCTTCCTTTCCAGTCTCGTCTAGCGACTTCATCATTCCAAGGTAGTTTCGACGGATTGGATGACAGCGGACAGGCCGACAGGCCACGACTTGTGGGCAACGTAGCGATTCATCCCTCGTCATATTACACGGGACCGACATGACGATGCGCAGCAATCGGGCTCCATGTTGGGCTTGTGATCTTCGACAACATTACATCAGCGCCAGGTCAACGGCTGGCCATGTGCGTAGTCTCCTGTGCGTAACCACTGCTCGTCGTCGATGCTGGCGTTGTCATCGATTCCTCTCTGTGGTGAGATGGGATACCGTTTAACAGGTCTGATGCGAGGCCAAGAATGATGGGCAGGAAAGTGGGGACTGCATAAAGAGAGTCTGTCCAGGTGGAGCACCGTTGACTGATCTCCGGGCCATTGCGACGGCGGCTGGGAGGCCGTGAATGAAGGGACTCAACTACCGAAGCAATCGACTCTGTCGTTGCAGCACGGCTTGCATGCCCGGGCCCACCGAGAGGATCACGGCAGCCAGTCCAAGACAGTCCATGACAGGACAGGCACGACAGGGTGGGATTGTTGGCGTGCAGGAGGTAATTATCAATACTGTGATCAGGTATGCGTGTATCTATGTGTGTCTATGTATGTTTGTGATGTATGCGATGTGAAAGTATTCGCGTGTGAGCCTGATATGTGTCTGGGTGGGTGGGTGCATTGGTGCATTGGTCCCCCTCCGCCGCCCATGTCGCGGTTTTCTTCACTGCGCTCGTCCTGGTGCAGCCCACTTTGGCGCGTACCTCGTAGACACACCTCATTGCAGCATCTCCAGCTGCTTTTCTTTCTACCCTTTCTCGCAGGGTGGAAAGGGAAGGGTTCGTTCATACATGCAACCCGCAGACCGATGCACGCCGCGGTCGCCGCTCTCTCCTCCTCCACCTCTGCTGCTGCTGCTGCTGCCCAGCATCGCCTTTGATAATGACCTGCCTGCAGACATATGCACGCCAGCGCGTAGCGTTTGCGTAATTTGCATGGCGTTCTGCTTCGGGCGTGTCTGCTGGCTGCATGCGCTACGAGACGAACCCTCCCTCCCACGCCCCAGCGCACCAGCGAGGAAGAGGAGGACGAAGCAGAAGACGAAGAAGAGGAAGAGGATTGACCCTCGGTCTCGGGCTGTCTGTCTGTCTGTCTGATGCATTCATTAGCTGCCCAGGTGCTGCTGCTGCTGCATTCCTCCCGCTCGCATTCGTCGTCGTCGTGCTTTCAATGGTCCCGCGAGTGCGTCGTATAACCCACACCGCCGCCGCCGTCGCGTAACGCGCACATACCGTGTCCGTCTCTCCTCTTTCGCGACATCCTTTTGCTTATGCTGCACAGAGGAGTCTCGGCCGGGAAACACGAGCATTTTCACCATCGTCGCCTTCATCTATCGCTATTGCCCGAATCGAAACTTCCCATTCAGCGACGAAATTGTCATCCTGTCGAGTGGACCCAACATTTCATCGATACCTAGTAAATTCAGACTTGGGGATCGACACTGTCTTCTAGTCTCCCAGTCAAAGCCGCCAGTGATCGACCATCCGATAAATTGGCCCAGCAGCGCGCTCTACCATCCAGGTCCGGACTCATATTTTTTCAGCTCCATCTCGTGCGCCAACCTTTCCTACTCCTTCATCGACCATTTCCAGGCCCGCTGCTGACCTCGACTCGTCTGCCTTTGCAGGACCATCGATCCCTCGCGGCGTCTCGAGTGTGACGGGACTGTAGGCTGATCATTTACCGACCTCGTCAAGTCTCCCGGACCGGACCCTACTCAATCGCAATTCCTTGGCGACGTTTTAGAACATTTTCACAGACCCCGAACTCGGCTCCAACGCGCTTCTGGACTGAACGTTGCCTCTCATCGTCCGTCGTCAGACACCGGAAGCCCGCGCCGGACCCGAGCTGGACATGATGCCGAATGGCGACGATGTTGCCGCCCGGTAGCTCTCGTCTGCCGACAGACTCGACGACCAAGTCTTCGCAGCTGTCCTCCAAGCGTCGCAAAGTCTCCGAGACCCGCTGGACATCATCCGCCATGGAGCCCGCTGACCGCGACACGTCCAAGATCCGGATAGCTGGACCAGCGGCGTGCCCGAGCTGTGCGACGCCGTTCACGGATCCCGCGACGTCACTGGCACCAATTCAAGCTGCAGAGATCGTCAACACGTCGTTTGCTTCGTATGTGTCTATCGACACGGATGTCGAGGATGATGAGGATGGCGGTGTCCGTTTGGATGCTGCTGATCAAGTCCCTGTCCCTTCTGGCGCGAGCGAGGGAGCCGTCTCTGCCAACCCGGTGAGGAGGGTCAGGCTCCCTGCTTCCGACTTTGCGACCATGGCGGGTGGCTCCTCGCCGTCGGCACATCTGCGTGAACCTCCTATGCCGTCGTCCGGCGGAAGAGGTGTTCAACACTTTCGCGTGCCAATTCCCATCACATCCGAGAATCGCGGTATATCCTTCTTCGGCCATGTGGACCCGTCGCAACAGACTCTACCCTCGATGTTCGACCGAGCGGACGACATCGAATTTTCTGACGACGCCACGGTCACCGCCGACTTGATCGCATCAGCAGAGGCTGCTTTCGGCAATTGGCCCCCTTCAGGCTATCCCACGCCGCCTGCCTTCCCCGCTCTGCTGGGTGATGAACCTTTGTTTGAGAACTCGACAGACGGACCTTTCACAGTGTATACGTTCCTCGCCGAGGATGCACTTCCCGTCGATGACCCGCTCCGGAACTATGATTTCGCAGAGTTCTTGAACGACTGGCGATTGCGTTCGGCGTTAGAGCCAGAGCTGCCCACTTATCGAGGTGAGGCAGAAGCCGTCACGAGTAATATTGCCTCCTCGGAACCGGTCCTCCGAGATCCATCGAAGTCTGGAACTATCGACCCTCAGGGAATCCGGTGGGATCGGTTGGGCCCGAGTCGCGAAGCCGCGATCCGCGCCCGTCGGATGATGCATCCCGCAGGCACCATGCCGCCTATAGAATCATCGCCGCTACTGGATGACGACATGTCCACATCGTCCCTCGCGGCGGAGACGCTGTATCGTTTCCGGAGCTTTGCCCCGACCCATCGACCTGTCATCAACCACTATCAACTCCGCAACAGCCTGGCTGCCACCAGCCGCAATGACATCTTCTACGTTGCCGACCAGAGTGTCGTCCGCACCTCGCTCGCCAGCCCCAATTATGTCGAGCATGTTCTCGACACCTCGCATGCTAACGGCGACCTCAAAGTCTCGTGTCTGTCTGCTCTGCCCGCCTCGCTCTTCCCTTCTTACCAAAGCAATACCCTCCTCGTGGCCGGTGGTCTCAACGGCGAATACGCCATCCTCAACACCACCACCTCTGTGACGCAACAAGGGCACGTCACTCACGCCGACGACGGCCTCGTCACCCACGTCCATGACTTCCTCGACCGCCATTCCGGCCTACCCCGCGCCGCCTTCTGCTCCAACGACAACCGTCTTCGCGTCATGGACCTTGCCACCCAATCCATCACCGCCTCCTACTACTACGAGGACGCCCTGAACTGCGCCGCCACCTCCCCCGACGGCCGGCTCCGCGCGCTGGTCGGCGATACCAACGACGCCCTCATCTCCGCCGCGGAGGACGGCCAATTCCTGGTCACGCTCCGACAACACGCCGACTTCGGGTTCGCATGCGCCTGGAGCCGCGAGGGCAGATACCTGGCCACGGCCTCGCAGGACTGCACCGTCGCGGTCTGGGACGCGCGCAACTGGACCCGGCCCGTCCGCGTGATGGACAATGTCGTGGCGTGCGCGCGCAGCCTGCAGTTCACCGACGCCGGTGCCCTGCTCGTCGTCGAGAACGACGACATGGTCAGCGTGTATCGCGATCCTGGTCGAGCCACATCGTCGCCGTCGTCGATGCCGGAGCGACAGGACATTGAGCTCTTCGGGGCGATCGCCGGTTGTGCGGTGCTCGATGGCGGGAACGAGATCATCGTAGCGAACGCGGACGCATCGGTCGGCGGGCTCATGGCTTACGAGTCGATCGGTGAACGGGCAGCGTCTGCATCATCTGCGGCCGATGCTCTCGGCGACCGGCGATGGGATCGCGATTGGCGCAGAGGAGCTCTCGGGCGATGTCTCGACATGTCGTTTTTGTGATGCGCCACCCCTTCTCGCCTCACCTCTCCTCCTTCTTCCTCGCGGTGTTTTTGATGCTTGGGTTTTCTTTCTTTTTCTCAGCGGGGCGTCGGCGTTCGACGGGGATCGTCTCGGAGAGGTCCCAAAAATTGGAATTGGAATCGGCAGTGTTGCATGGTATTTGCCTGTGAACGATCATTGGGATTGGGAAGGGAGAGAAAGAGTGATGATACCCCTGTACTCCTAGAGGCCGCATTCTTTTAATTTTTCTTCCGTCGTCTATCTATGGATATATATAATCTACTAACGGCTCCTGTGTTACCCGTCCGAGGTCTCGTTCACGCATGACAATGTAGTCCACGATCTTGGACAGTATATTGCATACCGAAAGGCGCCCGCCATTGTCGTCGTCCTAATGGCAGAGGCGCATCTGCTCCAGCTCCAGCTTCAAGACAACTGCTCTCTAGTACCTGACTGAATACCTACCTAGGTAGGTTTTGATTGCTTCTCGAGGCTTAGGGTTGCGAACCGCGCTTGGAAAGATAATACACAGCAGCCCTATCTCCAATACCGCCCGAGTGGAGACGTGCACTAACGAGACGACACGCGCGTCATGGCAGGAACCGCACGTTACATTCGCTACTCGCCCGGGGTACCAATGGGAATCCTACGCCAGAAACTGTGCCGTCCGGTTCGGAAATTTCCCCTCCTCATCTATGTCAACACGAGGAGTATCTTCGTTTGTGCCATGATCACCTCCGGACTTTGACCACTCTCTCGACACACCTTCAGGCCACAGATCTCCCATGGATTTCGAACCCGAATTCTTTTCACGCCTTCTCAAGTCCATCCGCTAGGGCCATCCCTCCGCATCGTGCTCACGTGCTCACCCGCGCCGAGTTCAGACCGCGGAAACTCGGACCACAAGTCACTCGGAAGAGAGGCCGCACGCCCATTTGACGACACGGAACTGGGCGTCTTCGCGACCGCAACACCAGCGCCCGACCATCATGTCGTCGGCCGCCCGGCGCCAGAGCGCCCAGCTGGATGAAGGCGACCTCGCCCTCCTCGGCAAGAAGCAGGTCCTGCAGCGACGCTTCGGGTTCGTCTCCCTGTTCGGCTTCGCCGTCTGCGAGCTCATCACCTGGGAGACCGTCCTGGCCCTGTTCAGCCAAGCCTTCCGGAACGGCGGGCCGGCGGGCAACGTGTACGGCTACATGATCGCGTGGGCCTCCACCATGTCGGTGTACACGGTCATCTCCGAGTTGGCCTCCATGGCACCCATCGCCGGCGGCCAGTACTACTGGGTGTGGATGATGGCCGAGCCCGGGTGGCGCGACGTGCTGAGCTACGTCGTGGGTTGGCTGACGACCCTGGCGTGGATCGCGACGGTCGCGACGGAGACGCTCTTCGCCGGGACGATGATCCAAGGAGTCATCACCCTGGATTATCCGGATTACTATATCGAGCGGTCGGCGATGTGGCAGGGCACTCTCCTGACCTGGGCGGTCATCGCGGTGTGTGTCTTCATCAATGTGGTCATCCCGAATTGGCTGCCGAGATTCGAGGTGTTCATCCTCGTCTTCCACCTGGCGGGGTTCGTCGCGATCCTGACGACGCTCCTAGTCATGACGCCGCAGTTCGCGCCGCTCGAGGCGGTCTGGCTCACGGCGCTGAACGAGGGCAACTGGCCTACGCAGGGCGTCTCGTTCTGCGTCGGGTTCCTGGGCAACGTCGCGACGTTCGTCGGGGCGGACGCCAGCGTGCACCTCGCGGAAGAGGTCTCCCGACCCTCGGTCAACATCCCACGCGCGATCCTCGGCGCGATGATCATCAACGGCGCCCTGGGGTTCGCCATGATCGTGACGGTCCTGTACTGCCTCGGCGACGTGACCGCCGTGCTCGACAGCCCGACGGAGTTCCCCTTCATCGAGGTCTTCCGACGGAGCGTGGGCAGCGTCGCCGGCGCGACGGTCATGACCGCGGTGGTGCTATCGCTGACCTGGGCCTGCGCGATCGGCATCACGACCACGGCGTCGCGGATGTGTTGGAGCTTCGCGCGTGATCGCGGGCTGCCCTTCTGGCAGGTCCTGAGCCGGGTGAACCCGCGCACCAAAGTGCCGGTCATGGGCGTGCTGACGGTGACGGTGATCGCGGCGCTCCTGACGCTGATCTATGTGGGGTCGTCGACGGCATTCGAGGACGTCATTTCCTTGACCATCACCGGCTTCTACGGGTCCTACCTGCTGCCCGCGGCGCTGCTCCTGCACCACCGCATCAGGGGAAACGTCCTCCCGAAGGGTTCCCGGCCGGTCCCGCCATCGACCGAGGATCCCGGCACCATCGACGACGACAAGCAAGAGGTCGATCCGCCGCCGTCGTATCCCTCCCCCGAGCCCGCGGTGCGCGCCGACCTCGTCTGGGGCCCCTGGCACGTCCCCGGCCTCCTCGGGATCCTGAACAACATCTACGCGTGTGCCTACATGGTCTTCGTCATCTTCTGGAGCGTGTGGCCGCCGCAGACGCCGGTCGATGCGAGCTCCATGAACTACAGCGTCGTCGTCACCGGCGGCGTAATGATCCTCAGCGCGGCGTGGTATTACGTCGGCGGCAGGAAGCAGTATCAGGGCCCGACGATCGATGAGGAGGTCAAGGGGATCATGAGGCTGGGATCGGTGAGTGCTCGTGGCGGAGGGGATGGTGCCGCGTAATGGAAAGGCTATCGCACGGGGAGGAGACCACTGTATCTAATGACTTTAATGTACCGAATGATTGCGAACTGGTCCTCGATGGCTAATGCTGATGACTTATATTTCGCATCCCGATAGGAGTCCATATCATCACAGGATTGGGCAGATGCACGCGGGAGTTAGACTCCTCTCGCGCGCTCACACTCATCACAGGGTCTGCCACGGCCGCCTGCGAGAGTGCGGGTGACGTCGGTTTCGCCGGCTTCGGAGATGCCTACCCTAACCATTGGCCTCTCCAAGGTTATCTCCATGCACGTCCAACAGAGCGATGCCGAGCTCCCGTTCCAAAGAGCTCTCGCTCAAGTGCCCCAGACTGCTGAGGAGCTTTCTCCGCGCGATGATTCCGGATCACAAATTGAATTAAAACACTACACGACCGCACGTCCATTCATCCGAATCGAGCAGAATCTCCAGGACGATCAACATGAGCGTCAAGAACATCGTCAAGGCCCTCGAGCCGTTCACCTCGTACGTCGCGTTCCGGCCCGAGTGAGGCGTGGAGGTTTTCCCACCGGACAGAGAGCGATCCAGCTCAGCCCTCGTCCGTCTTGACGCCTTCGCGCTCACGATCCTGCCCGTCCTGTCCCCGCGAGCGGGCGTGTTGGTTGACTCGTCCCGGGTTCCCAGGTGCGACGTCGCCGACGCCCTCTCCAAGCTGAAGGTGCCCCACGGCGGCTTCCTCCCGGGCATCACCATGTGGTCGCCCCGGCGGCAGGAGGGCCCCGCGAAGATCATCGGCCCGGCATACACGGTCAAATACGTGCGCAAGAACTACGAGAACGAACCGAAGCCCGCGGGCCACTACGTACGTATGGTGTAGACGGAGACGGAGATAGAGATGGGACGGGACGGGAGATAGGGATGCGGGTTCGAGGGAGACGTAGCTGACGGGCGGGCCAGATCGATTCGATCCCGGCGGGCGCCGTCGTCTTCATCTCGGCGCCGCCGCGCATGCCGAACGCCTGCTATGGCGGCCTGATGAGCACGCGAGCGCAGCATTCGGGCGCGGTCGGCACGGTGATCGATGGCCGGCTGCGGGACCTGCAGGAACACCGCGACCTGGACTTTCCGGTGAGTCCGAGGCTCGTCCCTCCCGGTCGCACGGGACGAGCGCTGGACGAGGGACTTTTGCTGATGGGAGATGGGCAGGTGTTCGCGCGCGATGTCGGGACGACGTCGCCACAGGAGATCGTGCGCGTGAGCGAGGTGAGTGGCATGCAATTATCCCATCGCCTTGTCCGAGGCCCCTCTATCGCATCGTCCCGTTTCATGTCCCTGTTTCATGTCGGGATTTCCATCATTGCCCTGTCTGCCTCGATGGCCTCATTATGATTCCACCCCCAAATCCGACGACACGGCGACTCACCATCCGCACAGGTCAACGGCCCGGTCCGCCTCAACAGCGAGGAGATCGACGCCACGATCCACCCGGGCGACTACATCATCGCGGACCTCAACGGCGTGGTGGTGCTGCCTCAGGGGCTGGCCGAGCAGGCGGTCGACCTCATCGCCTCGCAGGTCGAGGCGGACGAGAGGGTGGCCGCGGACATCAAGGCGGGCGCGACCTTCTCCGAGGCGTCGAAGAAGCACCGCGCGAACGTCAAGCAGCCGAGCAAATCGCCATAGCCGGGCGAGCGCGTGGGAGGGAGACAGAGCCGGGGACAGGCGACATGGGAGAGGTTCAGCGGGGAAAGGGAATAGGCGAGTCCCAAATCGATGTGCTTACCCTATCGGCTGGACATATTCGATGGATGAGTTGATCATGTACGACCTGTTGGCACCGCCCCGGAAGATGTGAAATGTCAATATCTACCTGAATCCCCAGGGCGATCGAGTCGAACCCCCGCATCTCTGCTGTTCAATAAGAAACGTCCGACCATCTCCCCTGATTTCCGGGACGGACGATCTAACCGATCCCTCCAGATCTGTGGGATCGAGAGGAAGCTCGGAAGGAGAGGGACGTGTGGGCATGTGTGGACCGAACGGCGATGTGATCCGGGCGCGTCAGGGCGAGAAACCTGGTAGTGGCTGATGAATACCCAGGTGGATGGATGGATGATGGATGGGTTGAAAAGGGGAGGTAGGGCCGAGCCCGAGCGAAACAAGAGGAGAGGAGGGACCGATGCCTGTCTCACATCCAGCCCGTCTCCAGGGCCGTCAGTTCTTTTAATGTTTCCCTGGCGCTGGGATCTGGCGTGGTGTGCCGTGGATTCCTTGGGCGATTATTACCTAGATACTGTCCACTGCGAGCATGTCATGTTCGATGCTTACTCGGATTTACGTCTATCGCGTATGCGAACCCGGCTGCGATCGCGATCGGACGGGTGGTCCGTGTGGGTGGTGTGCTCGTGTGTGCCCAGTCCTCCAATGCACCGGCGGCGGCTCTGCTCTCACTACGGCGGTACGAAGCTTGGAACAGATGACAAATGGCCTGTCCACGCAATGCGCCCGTACGGCTAGACCGTCGGGAATGACAACGACGGCGATGATGCACTGTGAATCATACCTCCAGCACCTCCCTAACAGCGCCGGCGACGATAGCGGCGGAGAGGAAGAGATCCGGAGGGAGATTCAGAGAGAGAGGGAGAGAGAGGGAGGCAGGGAAAGAGGGGACACATGGAGAGACAGAGGCAACCTTGGAATGCCCGCCCGGGTCCACCGTTGTCATCGAGCGTGGTGCGAAACAAGTTATTGTTCTTAACGTCCAACGTCTCATCCTCGAGCGCCCGCCCGAGTCCTCTTGATCTTCACGTCCCATTGCCGTTACAGGATAGCATGTGTATGGTATGGTATAGTATAGTATCATACAGGTGATGTAGAGGAATGGATGGCTCGGCGGGCGTCCTCCGAATTCCAACGATTCCCACGACCACCATCCGTCTCTTGGGCCAGGACACGATCACCCGAGCTCCATGTCCAGTCGCGCCGGTAACTGTCATAACCGTAATGACAACAACAATGACTACTCGAGTTCTGAGACGCCGGATCTCCAGACCACCCGGCGCTCACGCGAATCGGGCTGATCGCATCCGTGGATCCCAGGCCCGATCGGATTCCAAGATTCTCCTCGAGATCCCATGCCCTCGCCACCGAATGCGACGACGCGCGTCCGTCTGGTCGGCGGTGGTCCCGATGGATGTATACAGTACGTCCCTGGGTATGATGACCGACCTCCATGCAGATCCTCCATCATCGCATGGGACGGGCAGATGTCATTCCAAGGTTAGCGTCTCTATCCCTACGACCCGAGACGCACTGTGTCCCGAGACAATATGAGACAGACGCCACACTATGTGGCCGCATTTCACTCAGGCATCGTGGCTCATTATACAGGAGTACAATATTGCATCCCTTCCTATAGACCCACCTTGACGAGAAATCCGAAAATAAAAAGAATAGGAGATCCTTTATCTGGCTAGCAGATTAAGGAATATCACAGCAACTGGAAGTTGATAGACACAGACAAAGACACAGACAGAGACGCCGTACGCGCTGAGCCAGAAGACCTACTTGCCACCTTGCGTGTTCATATCAGTACTACAATTTATTAGCAATGTCGCAATGCCAGAGTGACCTCGAGAGGATGCAGCTTGGAGGGCGTTGCCGTACTGGCCGCCTTGCGCATTCACATCGGCGCCGCGCTCGATCAACAGCGTCGCGACCCCCGTGTGACCGTAAAGTGATGCGGCTTGAAGGGCGGTGCCGTACCAGCCGCCTTGCGCATTCACATCGGCGCCGCGCTCGATCAAGAGCGCCGCGATGTTGATTTTGCCTGTTTCTGAAACGGAACACAAGAACATGGAGAGCGCTATCAGTACTTCCGCATCAAGTTGATCATCACGCAAGAGGTGTCTAGCCAGACTAGGCCATCCTTGTTCTATTGCCCAACGCCAGGTCTCTTGTCCCTGACGTAAGTCATACGCCTGTCGTCCTCTATAATTATCCACGATGATCTCTTGGGCAATCTTGGTAGGATTTTCGGCGCCTTCGCGTTCCAGTATCGCTTCTGCAGCTTCCTTGCTCTTGTTCGCGAGAGCAGCAATCAATGGCGTCCTGTTGCGATTTCTGCTAGATTGAGTAAAATCGTGTTGGCGACAAGCAAGTGATCTGATGAGATTGGCACAATTTCTCTCTGCGAGAATGTACTCGATTGAGACATCGGGTGTATATACGCCGATGTCATACTGTTGCAAAAGGTTGGCGATTGTGTACCATCTAGAAAGATCAAAACGGTCGAAAAAGCCTTCCTGCGGGATTCCCAGAACCGCTTCGTTTGAATGATAGAAAACCATTGCAATAGCGTAGTCCAAGAAGGGAGAGCCGCTCTTCAGCAAAGCACGTTCACTTCGCCGATGGGAGGGTCGCCATGCTGTGATATCCTGGTCGGCGGGTGCTGTTAAGCCCATCAGTTGCCAGCAGATGTTCATGTCGATCTGGATTCCACGAATGCAACACTGTTTGAGAGCTTCGTGGGCACCGTAGGCTGAGGAGTCGCAGGATGGTTCGATATGCTCGAAGCCGCCTCCCATCACCAGAAAGTCCCGCACAGATTCATGTATGAACTGTACGCGTCCATTTTTGCCTTTGGTGAGCTCGGCCAACCCTTTGGAGCAGCTTCTGAGGTCATCAAGGATCATGTCGTCTGCGTCTTCTTCTGAAAATTCTGCAAAGTAGCACCTCCATTCAAGATCCTTTGTGTCAGTGCCAGCCAGCATGGCAAAATAGAATTCCCTCAGTGCCAACGGTCTCCTTGAGTACAGTATCCATCTTAGACAAAGCAAAAGCTCGTGAACATCCTCTCGATCGCGTGTTACGATGCTTCGGAAAAGATTCGTGAGGTCTTCTGGGATCTGCTCAAGTTTTTGCTTGACTGTATGAGCATTTCCTCTGAGATACTCCTTTTTCAAAATCTCGACTACCAACACTACCCATAGAAATATACCGTTGGCCTTGTCCAGGATGGTGTTCTGCACTTGGTCAGGAATATTCTTAAGTTTGTTTGAAGATCCGCTTGTGAACTTTTGACTTTTGACATACTTGCTAAGGTCGTTCCGGTGTTCGTCGAGATCCTCTAGCACGAGCTTGAACTCAGTCGGTATGTCAAACGACGGATAATGGCGAGATGCAAAGCAGACACTGACACGTCTCCCCTCCTTCGCAGCTTCTTCACAAATTTTCCAGAAGAAAGTGACCATCTGCTTCATATCTGAATCCTGGCATTCATCAAGAGCGTCAATGAAGCAGTATAGGCGATGGCTCTGCAGCTTCATGACAGCGGCGGAAAGAAGGCTGGATAATGTGTGCAAGGACAATGGACCATCGCCGGCAATCTGCCGAGAGTCACTCACGACAGGTTGTAGCTCCCGGTTTCGCTCCAGTAATTGCACCAGCAGCGATCGATACATGCCCTCCAGAGATTTCTCGAGTCGCTCCCCACGGGCATTGAAATAGAACGAGATGCAAATGACGTCAGGCTTCTGGTTCGTAGAAACATGCGTATCCAGATATTTCACAAGAACGGACTTGCCGGCGCCCGGTTTGCCCTTGATCCAGAAAAACCCACAGTGCTCCTCTGCGGGCTCGGTATCCCTCCAAGCAAGATATGTAGGATGTTGCAATATCCAGCTGCACGTCTTCTTCATTTCTGTCCTGATGTTCGCCTTTCGAGAGTGGATCGTTTCGAATCGAAGCATATCTAAATTCCATTCACGCTGCTGTGCGTTTTCGCAGCGGATCTCCCTAGGCTCTCGACTGCCAAGATTCATGGGTGAACTCAGTGCCGCCTCGCCATGATGCTCCCTGATTTCTTTCTCCAATCGCTTCTCAGCCTGGTCTGGGCCTTCGCCATACATGGGCGACATGATAACATCGCACAAGCCCATAAGTGCATAAAAGTAGTCTTCCGGGACAAATGTCATACGTCCTGTCGCCCAGCGAAGCCGTGTGGATATCGGAAAGTTCTCGTGTGATGTTCCCAGCAGGGCATCGGTTTCTATTCCGGTGACCTCTTGTATCTGTTTCAGAAGACTTGCCCGATTTCCAAGATGTTCCCCTCGCGCATAAAATTCCACACGTTTAGGTGCAATCAATTCCTGCAACGTCCACCCTCGCGTGAACCAGCGACAGTTGCGAAAGTTGCCCTCCCATGCTCGCTGTCCATTGCAATCTCTCTTATTGAGCGAGACATCGGCAAGGTAGACGAAGCACACCGCCGCGTCGCGATACCATCTGTACATAGATCTGATGGCTGTCGAGAGCTCCGCTTCATTGCGCTTGTCGATGCAGCAATTATCAATCCAGAAATGCTCAATGTTCTCCGCTTCAGCCCGCTCTGCCATGAACCTGATCTTGGCAAATGACTCTTTTCCCCGGGCTGACCCGTCGAGCATGTCTTGATAGCTCACTTCGGCGTTTGGCGTTGTGCTCCATGTGTGAGACAATATGGCGTATGGCGGAGGGCTGTATAGCAGGGCGGTAAAGACGAAGTCGCCTCTATCGTTCCGCTTCAGCAAGCGCATGATGAGTGCGGCTGCGACAGATTGGTCGCGTCAACTGCGACTTTCGTCATCTATGCTTCTAGGAAATTCCAGCGCGGGTAGTTGGAGGGTGCAGAGCGACCATCAGCTTGGTCATAACACAATGAATGAACCTACGAGGGGGTGTGGAAGCAAGCAAGAGCGATATAGCGGGATGTCGATGGGATTTCGCTACGAGGCTGCGATTCATGGCGGCTCCCGATTGACTTGCACAGCCTTGCACGTCGTGCCGCTGAACCTCCACATCGTCACGCACGTGCACTCTTTATGCAGCTGACTGCGAGGACCAATGACATTCGCCGGGCGGACGATGATGACAAGGCTCCATCCTGGAGTTCTGAGCGTGGTCCAATTGCTCCCATGGATGGCGGCTGGCCGAATAACAATGATCGGCTGCAAGTATCGCCCGTTCGCACTAACGCACTCAATTGTAGTCGTAACGGTCTGCTTCTCGGGCAGGATAAGGTATTTCTAACGCTCGGCCACGCGCGCGGTAGTAGAGTGGGGACTCTGTACGCTAGCATGATCGGCGAGGATGTATCGCCGGAAATCTATATATTACCCAAGTTTCTCACCCATTGTGGGAGCTCTCATTTTGGCAATAGGGTGCGATACGAATTCAGCACTCCTTCAGGCCTTGGTCGTGCAAGGATCAAGCAGGCTGGCTGGATCTATTGTTGCGACACGACTCGATGATAGCGGGTTGTTGTTGTTTGAACCATTACGACTAGAGATGAGCAGAAGATGGCACAGTCGTAGATACCGGGCCCCGTCGCCACAGATCCTTCTTGAATGCAATCAACTGCGCCGCCATGTTCGCGCCACATATGGCGCATGTTCAGCCCTTCCGGCACGCCTGTATTTCGTCAACTTCCAATGCTTTGGATTCGAAGCTGCATGCCTGGAATCAAGTTTGGGCTGAGCGGCCTGTCCTCTGGTCGATGGGCTCTCCGATATATGCCTTTTGATCGAAACGATAGAAGGGCATGACTGCACAGAGATGTGCAAAGTTTACGCCACATTCAGCCACAGCAGTGATCATGCTGAAAGCAGATGACGAGATGGTCGAGAAGAGACCAACTTCCGATATGACAGGAACCTCAACTGGGTCTTCGATCCGCAATCGTTGATTCTTCCAGAAAGAAGAACGACGCGACAATGAAAAGCAATGACGAAAATGTGTCTCGGGACACAATGCATCTCGGGTCACAGGGATGGACGTTACATATATCATCACAGACACTGCATCCCGGTGGGAAGATGATGTACCTACCTACCTACCTACCTATAGGAGGTCATCACGGTGGGAAGATGTCGCCAGGCACCACCGGCCAGCCACGATCCGATCTGACTCTCCCCATCAAATTGCCCCATCAAATGTCCCCATCCAACATCAAATGCCCCCATCAAATGTCCCCATCCAACATCAAATGCCTCCATCAAATGGATGCCCATGCTGGGTGCCCTGCCCGGTGTGCTGTTCTGTTCTGTTCTGTTCCATCCGGCATCTCCTGTGTGTGGCAGAATCTGGATACCGATGAAATCCTCGAATGTATGGGCAGACAGGAGGAACCATCAGCCTCTCCGGGCCACCCACCTCGGTGCCGTGTGTGTGTAGTAGTGACGAGTGCCATCGATGTCCATACTGCGGTCACAGTCGGGAGTCCGTCCGGCCGGTCTTGACGATCCATTCGCGACCTCGTATTCCACACCACCACCACCTCTCTCCCGAGGGACGACAACCAAAACAGCAGCTCTCTGTCTCTCTCTTCTCTCCCGCTCTCCCGGCGTTGGTTGGTTGGTTGGTGGGATGGCCCCGGGAAGGGACGGGATGCGACGCGTGTAAGATCCACCCTGGCCCGTCCCGTCCATTGCACACTCTCAGCTACCAGCCACCCGCAACAGAGAGTAGAGAGAGTAGAGAGTGAGCCGCGAGCTGTACGCTACGGTCACTCACCACACACACACACACACACACACAGTCCGCGATGACAGACGGTCGGCCAGTCTACACCACACCGTCCCATGGATTCCCACCTGCACCGTTCATCATCGTCGTTCCTCCTCCTCAACGACGGTGGCGGCGGCGGCGGCGGTGGAGGCGGAGGAGGAAGAGAATTTCCATGGACGGGCGCCCCAATGAACGCGTCGTCATCATGTATGTACACGACTCCTCCTCCGCGGGCTCGTCTTCACCTTTAACCATTGATTCCTTCCCGGTAATAATAATAATAGTATTATCAACAACATCAATCATCACCATCACCAGCGACATCCTCTCACGGATCACACACATCGACCTCCTCGCACGCATCAGTTCATCTGCGGGATATTCCTCCTCGCCTGGACGACCGTTTGCGCCACGCCATACTGGACACCCACGGCCGTTTCCCCTTCACCACCAGCAGCCGCCACACCCTCGCGCGACCCTCACCGTTCCAGCACCGTCGTCCCCGTCTCTCTCCTCCTCGTTATCACCGTCGTCATCCTCGTCGACGATATCTCCCTCTGCGCGACCGTTGGGCCTAGGGGACCACACGAACACGATCCCTCCGACCTGACACACACGCGCCCGCGCCCGCGCCCGCACGCACCACGCGCCGCCATGAACTCCGTCGGCATGTCCCAAGCGCCCACCACCACCGCCGCCGACCCGTCCGGTCCACGTTCTCGCGGCTTCAGCTTCAAGAGCGACCGCAGTGGCGCCTCCAAGGGCTCCAAGCCGAAAGAGGACCCGGCGGAATCGTCGTGGGACAAGCACCGCCGGGACACCTACTTGCAGTCCAGCAAGGCTAACCCCAATGCTGCCCTGACCGAAGTCCAACCCGCTGGTACGTCCTCGTCCTCGTCCTCGTCCTCGTCGTCCTCTGTCTGCCCGTGCGCCCGGTCATCCACCGATCGGTCTGATCGCGATCCGTCCCCTCCGTTGACACCGCCGCCGTCGCTGCTGTGCTCCCTCTCCTCGCGACTGTTGCACCTCGTCCCTCTGCCTTCCTCTCCCCATCAACCCAGCAACGCCGACCCTTGCCCTCGCCGCCCACTTCCTGCCCTCCCTCGCCGCCCATACGTCCTCCCCCGCCGCCCATCATGGCCCTCGTCGCGCGACCGCTGAGCTCCAACATCCTCATTAACGATCTCCCGCCTCCAGTGGCCAACCTGCTCGAAGAAGCCACCATCCAGTCGTTGCGCGGCGTCCAACATCGCGACTCGCAAGGGAACGTCATCAGTGAGTGGTCGCCTCCGCACCGACGGGCCTGATGATTGATGCCAGGGACTGACCCAACCTACAGCCGACCCGGACCTCTCCAACCCCACCCGGCCGCGGTTGGAGCGACCGCTGGACACCATCCGATCGTTCGAGCGGGCGGTCGAAAACGGCTATCGGAGGAAGTCGTCGTACCAGCGAGCAGGTATGGCCGCCGAGACACCACGCGCGGGACCCGACGCCCACTGACCACGCTCGCGCAGACTCGTACGAACAGCAGGGCGGAAGTTCGAGGCGGAACAGCTATCTGGGCAACGGGCACAACTCGGGAGGTGAGTGCTGATGCGGCGCGACGATGTGGTCCAGCTGTTGACCCCGCACCGTTCAGGATACGACAGCAGCCCCGGGAACAATCGCCAGTCGCAAGTGGGAGGCTATTACGGCAACCAATCGCGAGATGGGCAATTGAACAACCCGGGCACGAGCAACGGCTCACGCCTGCGCCAGGGCCCCGGTCCGCGACAGCCCTCGGAGTCGATGGGCCACGGCCAACCTCCTCGCACGCCCGGCCAACACGCCTACCAGCACTCCCACGACACCACCAACACCCACCAGACCAACGGCTCCGACGCGACCGGCCCGTGGGCGTCCGGCACTGACCCCAGCAGCGACAACAGCTCCGTGGAGCGCATCTCGAACACCGGCGGCAACAACTACACGTACGCCCCGAACGGATACGGCCAACCCAACGGCGCCGGCGCGAACGGCTTCCAGGGGTCCATCCCCGAGGACGGCGCCTACCACAGCCGGCCGCGCGGCGAGGCGCGCAAGCCCATCGCGCTGGGCAACAGCGCGCACGCGTCGAAACAGCTGCCGCAGACCCCGCGACCCGAACCGGAGAAGAGGAGGAGCTGGCTCCAGCGGACGTTTAGCAAGCGCGAGTCGAACAATTGAACCGTCGCCGGGCCGCGGGTCGGACGCGGCGCAAGAGGGATCTGCGCCGGCGAACAGTCTTCTCCCGACGTCACACACGCAACCCGGGAGGGCGGCATCCTATGAACATTCTTCCTCTCTCTCTCTTTTTGGCTCTATTCTTCTTCACCTTACATAATGATTTCGGCAGGAGCGCCGGCCATCACCAGGCCGATCCTCTCCAACGCCTGCACATCTGGCATACACACACGCACACGTACACACACACAAATTCAACCATGACACGGCCCTTTTTCTTTTTTTATGAACATCATCGCATTGCCGCTATCGCCTTGGAAGTCCTATCCCCTCCCTCCACTTTTGGCGCACGCCGACGGATCACATGCACGGATGCTCCACGGGCATCCTCCTCATTCGGGACTAAGGACCCGATCACATCGCCTCCTCTGTCACGAGGATTTGTAGGAATGAAGGGGACGGCGGGGGAATCCGATCGAGGGACAGGAGAGTGGCGGAAATGTGGCAGGCGAGGGGGGATCCACTCGACCGGAGCTGGGGTCTTTCTTTCTTTCTTTCTTTCTTTATTTTCTTTTCGCGGAGGTCGGCGGCGGACGCCGGCAGCGTCTCGGGCAGAGGAGGAAGCAAAAGCGCCTTCGTTCCATACATGCATTCTCCCAGACGGGCCTCGGGCTGCTCGATCAGGGAGGAGGCGGACGACAAAGACAGAAATGAAATCTCGTGCTTTTTGAAGAGTGTTTTCCGAACGTCGAATAGAACTTCCTCCCCCCACCTCTCACAGCCGAGATGGGGATGTTAAGTATAAGTGATTTGGACGAGTCAGACCTCGTCGACTCCCCCGGGTCCCATCTGGGGATCCGCGGCGATGATGCCGGCGAGGCGCGTCGTATGGGACTCCCTCGCCGTCTGGTGCTGCGACTGAAATTGGCGATGAGATCCCTGCCCCCCCGGGACAAAACCCCTACACTGCTCCGGCGCCCTGGGCAACGAGTCCCCGTTTGCTCCCCTTGTGAACGAGAGAGAGGGGGGAGAGTAAGAGAGAGGGGCAGGAGGCGGGCTCCGGCCGGCCGCACCGGTGAAGGCCACCACCGCCGATCCCCGCCCGCCGCCCGCTCGCTCGGTGGAAGCCCACCGCCCCGCACCTCCCGCCGAAACGGCGCGCGACCTCAACGGGCTTTCTTCGTCTCCGCCGCGTCGGCCTCCCGCTCGCTCTTGTCGTCCGCGAACGCCACGACCACGTAGCCGATCAACACGACGTTGGCCATGAACGCCGCCAGACCGCCCGCGTACGTCGCGTTGCCTGTGCGTCCCCGCGAATATCCGTCAGCGAGTGGGACGGTGGACGGACGGGGGGAAGCATGTACAGGATAGAAGGGAGGGAGAGAGAGGGAGAGAGAGAGGAAAAGAGAGGAAGGAAGAGGGAGAGAGAGGGAGGGCTCATCAAAAGTTCGACGCCCGGGGATCGAAAACGTGGAAGATCTGCGAGACGGATGGATTTCGAAGCGGGAAAAGGAAAAGGGTCCGTCTCACCGGAGAAGAGGTTGTCCACGGTCAGGAAGTAGCTGCCGATGGGGACGGTGACCATGGCCAGGGTGAAGCCGAGGAGTTTGAAGATGACGGATCTGTGCGGGACGGTTTCCCTCCGAGGTCAGAGGGGGGTTGACGGCCGGGGTCGGTCTCCGCGGAGCGGGTTCCCACTCACGATGGCACGGCGGGCGCGATGTTGGACGTCGGCGCCTCCTTGCGGATCTCGTCCTGGTCGAGGTGGGTCTTCTCCTGGGAGGTGATGCGGCGGGTTGCCATGCTGCTCTGGTCCGCCCCGGGGGCCCCGTTCGACGGCGCTGGGGTGGATGTTGGGGGGCTCGGGCGAGGAGGAAGGCCGTGGCTTGAGACGGACGACGGAGAGGGACTGCGTCGGCGGTGGAGCGGCGGGACTGTGGCTTGTTGAAAGGCTTGACCGGTGGCTTGTCCGTTCGATTCGTTGGTGACCAGGTTGTTGTCTTTGGACCGTCGGGGAGCGGTGCTGTGCGCTGTGGTGTACTGTTCACGACAGACCCTAAGGGGAGGCCCTGCAGCCCGGGCGGGATTGACCGATGATGACTGTACACATGCGCGGTCCAGCTTCCGCGGCGCTTCGGCGGACCGACCGGGGGCTCGACTTTTTCTCGCGGCGGAGGCTCAAAACCTCCCCAGCAGCAAAGCGGCGATGGCGTCCAACACCTGAGACCATCCCGTGCACACTTTCCACCGCCGCCGCCGCCTCCATACGGCGTCCGAACCACTCGACCGTCGTCGTCGACCCCTCGGACGGTCTCGGTCGGCAACGTCGGCCTGGAGCTGTGGTCCGCGCGAGTCCGCCGAGTCCGCCGACTCCGCCGCCGCCGCTCCCTCTTCCGGTATCACTTGGCGGCCGCTTCGCTTTTTTTTGTCCCCGGCGCGCGTCTCTGCCGACATTGGCGTGACGCAATTCTCGTCACCTTTCATCCTCCGCCTCTCTCACTCTTCACACACACACACACAGAGTCGCAGAGACACACACACAGACACGCCCACAGACGCAGAAACGCACACAGACACACACACATACACACACACACACACACAAACAGGTGCAGCGCGCACGACCCTCGCACCTTCGACGTGTTGGTCTCGACGAGTTGGATCACAGCGACTCTCGGCGACCCAGCACCGCCGCCGCCGCCGCCGCCGCCAACGCAATGGTCGATCCCAGCGACCCGATCCACGATACCCCGGCGGCCAAACGTCGCAAGATCGAGGACGGAGACAGTCGCCCAGCTCCGGCGTGGACCTCGGACAGCGGCGATGACCTCCAGGACGAGGATTTCCTGGCCGCGGAGGCGACGATCCCCACCCAACCTCTTTCCGGCCAGAAGAGGCAGCATCTCCAGTATGACGCGGGCAGGTCGCGGTCGGACCTGATCTCCCAAGCCATCACACAGCCCACCCAGCCTCTGCAGCCGCCCGCGGAGATCCTGGTCGGCCGCTCGTCACCTCCTCCCGTCACCTCGTCGCCGCAGCCGCGACCGCGCCCGCCGCAGCGCGCGCCCTTCTCGCGGCCTAACGGTGTCCTCGCGAACGCGATGGCCCCGCCCGGCACCGCCTTCCGCCGCCCGCCGGGCACGCAGCCTCGCCCGGTCGTCGACCTCGACAGCGACGAGGACCCACCCATACACTACAGCAGCGATGAGGAGGGAGGCACGCAGGGACGGTCGAACATCAAGCCGACGAGCTTCACAAAGGGCGGCCGGGGCCTGGACTCTTCACCAAACCAGATCAGCGAGTCGCCTCGTGCCCCGTCGCGGGTCGGCGGCGGCGGGGCCCCGACGGCGTTTATGAATCTCTTGTCGGGCCTGTCATACAAGCCCGGGCCCACACCCGCGACCTCGGGCACCACCCGGTCGGGCGATGACATGGCAAGCGTGTACGGCAGCACCTCGCGACCGCCGAGGCCCGCCCAGGCCGCGACTGCCCCCCAAGGCCGTCCCCGCGACCTAGGGGCTTCCGCAAAGACCCTCGAGGACATTCTCGACCCCAGCTTGCGGGAAAAGGTGAAACAGGTCAGCCGAATTGTCCCCAATCACAGCATTCAAGACGTCATAGACGTCCTACAGAGGAAGAAGGGTCACGTACAGGACGCGATGACCTACCTGATGGATCAAGAAGACGAGGTGCTCCCCAGCGTCGACGGATTGGTGTCGAACTCGCCCGCACCCGCGCGCAAAGGTCTGGCCAAGGCCATCCGCCCGGACTCGTCGCAGCCGCAGCCGCAGCCACATCGTCCTTCGGTCAAGCAGCAGGTCACCGCCCCCAAACAGTCGATCGCGGAACGGTATAGCAGTCGAAAGGATCCCGTCCACCAGCAGCCCGTCGTGGAGATCTCCGACGACGACGCCGAGGTGAGACCGAAACGGCGCCTCATGCAAGGCCGGAAGCCGGGCGCGCGGCGGTCTTCCTCGCCCCCACAGGTCGTCCCGCCGCCGGCGGCCGCCGCCGCACCGACGAAGGGGAAGGCTCCGATCACCATCACGTCGGACTCGGAACCGGAAGCGGTCGACGACGAGGTCACAGATAGCGAAGCGGAGCAGGAGGACGACGAGGGATCGGGCACAGACCACGACGAGAAGCTCCTCATGTTCCTGAACGAGTGCTCGGTCCGCGATCTCGCCGAGCTCTGTGCGCAACCCGAGGAGACGATCACGCAGGTGTTAGACAAGCGTCCCTTTCGCGACCTCGACTCCGTCCGGGACATCTCCATCACGTCGGCCACAAAGTCCGGCAAGAAGTCGCGTGCGAGACCGGTGGGGGACAAGCTCGTGGAGGACTGCAGCGCGATGTTGCGGGGCTACGACGCCGTGGACGAGCTGGTCAAGTCCTGCGAGAAACTGGCCGAGCCGGTTCAGAAGGCGCTGAAGGCCTGGGGCGTGCGAGAGACCTCCGAAGGCGAGCTGCAGCTGATGAACCTCGACGAAGCCCACGACTCTGGCATCGGCACGCCCTCGAGCGTGAGCCACGCTGAGGACGGCGCGAGAGGCGCCAGCCAGGGCGCGACGAAGGCCAGGGGCACCTTTATCCGACAGCCGCCGAACATGAACCCGGAGTACACGCTGAAGGACTACCAGCTGGTCGGCATCAACTGGCTGAACCTGCTCTTCACCAAGGAGACCTCGTGCATCCTCGCCGACGACATGGGCCTCGGGAAGACCTGCCAGGTCATCGCCTTCCTGGCGTACCTGCAGACCCAGCGGGTCGATGGCGTGCACCTGATCATCGTGCCGGGATCGACCCTCGAGAATTGGCTCCGCGAGTTCGAGCGGTTCGCCCCCGATCTGCAGGTCCGGCCCTACTATGGCTCGCAGGCGGAGCGGGAGGAGGTCCGGTACAGCCTCGAGCAGGACTTTGACCAGCTCGACGTCATCGTCACGACCTACGACATGGCCGTCGGCCCGGAGGACAACAAGTTCCTGCGGAAACTGGGGCCCTTCTCCGTCTGCGTGTACGATGAAGCCCACGCCCTGCGCAACCCCAAGTCCAACCGATATCAGCAGCTCGTGCGCATCGGCGCAGACTTCAAGGTGCTCCTGACGGGCACGCCGCTGCAGAACAACCTGCAGGAGCTCATCGCCATCCTGGCGTTCATCATGCCGGACATGTTCCAGAACAAGAAGGACGACCTGGAGTACATCTTCAAGCACAAGGCGAGCACCAAAGATACCGACGCCGCCGCCCTGTTCTCGAGCGAGAGGATCGGGCGGGCGAGGACCATGATGACCCCGTTCATCCTTCGCAGGAAGAAGCATCAGGTGCTCGACCTCCCCGCCAAGCGCTGCCGGGTCGAGTATTGTGACATGACCGACTCGCAAGCCGACTTCTACAGCAGCGTCATCAGCGAGGCCCAGGACTTCTACGCCCAGAAGGCGACCGGGGGCAAGGTCACCGCCAAGGCGAGCTCCAACGTGATCATGTCCCTCCGCAAGGCGGCCATCCACCCCCTGCTGTCGAGGCACATCTACGACGACCGACGCATCGACCGCATCGTCGCGGTGCTTCAGAAGTCCGACGAGTTCGGCGGCAACCCGCCCGACAAGATCCGCGCATACATCACCGGCGATGCGGCACAGTCCCTGAAGGGCGGTGACTACGGCATCCACCGTTTCTGCCTCGAACGGCCGATCCTGGGCAAATTCGCCCTGAAGCGACAGGAGTGGATGGACTGCGGCAAGGTGCTCCGCTTCAAGGAGCTCGTCACAGCATACGCCGCCAGCGGCGATCGCGTCCTCGTCTTCAGCCAGTTCACCACCGCCATGGACATCCTCGAACAGGTCCTGGAGACGCTCGCCGTCAAGTTCGTTCGTCTGGACGGGTCCACCAAGATGGATCTGCGGCAGGAGCTCATCGACACGTTCTACAACGACACGGAGATCACAGTGTTCATGCTGAGCACGCGCGCCGGCGGGGCCGGCATCAACCTCGCCGCGGCCAACAAGGTGATCATCTTCGACAGCGGCTTCAACCCGCAGGACGATGTGCAGGCGGAGAACCGCGCCCACCGCGTCGGTCAGACGCGCGAGGTGGAGGTCGTGCGGTTGGTGACTCGCGGCACCATCGAGGAGCAGATCCACGCCCTGGGCGAATCGAAACTCGCCTTGGACGAACGGGTCGCGGGCGACGCGTCGGCCGCGTCCGAGGACAAGGCCCGCGAGAAGGTCGGCGAGCAGCTGGTCGAGAAGATGCTGGTCGAGAAACTGCAGGACACTCAGGGCGACGTGCCCCCCGTCGATGCTGACGCGAAGGAATCCAAGGGGAAGAACAAGGCCAGGCCGCGCAAAGCCGAGGGTCCTGCCGCCTCTGGGAACACGTCCCAGGAGACCGTCAAGAGAGCAGGGGGCGACCTACGGGAGGCGTTCCGGGTCGGGTTGGAGGAGAAGGGTGTTAAGGTGAAATCGAAACAGGCGGTGCTTTAAGTAACCGCCTCGTCTCGGCCGCGCAGGAGGCCACTGCTGTGGGCCAGCCGAAAGGCAGGGATGTCCGCTATGTGCATCCGGGACAAGCTAGCACACTACGACGGCGTCAAACCCAAGATCGAGACCGGGTTTTCACCCCGGCGAATGACCCTTGGCCTCGGCGGCTCGTCGTGTCCCTCGGTCTCTCGCTCCAGCGCCCGGCTGGATGCGACCAGGCCAATTAGACCGGAGCGAGCATGTACAACGTAAGGGGGAAATGGAAATCAAACTGAGGATAACAACACCAATGAATTCATGTTCAAAATGCAGTAGATGGATACAGACGAGCGTTTATCGGGTCCCCGCATGAGGACGTGTTCGTGAAATGCCTAGCGTGTAGACGAAAGGATGATCGGTAGAATGTCCGCAGTATGACCGCCGCCCGTTTCCCTCAGATATCCGCCCTCTGCGTCATCCGGAGTCCATCACAAGCGGCCTCGACAACTCTGCCGCGCAATGCGGCCCGATGCCCTCTCCTTGCCCTCCCTCTCTCTCTCTGCGAAAAAATTCTCCCGCACACGCGCAGAACCCGACACGCACAGCTCGCCCGGACTCGGATGGAGCCATTCTCTCCCGACTGATTACGCCCCTCTCCTCTTCCTCCCCGGGAGCGGCACTCTCATCCGTGCTCTTATTCCATCTTGTAACTTGGTAGCCAAAGGCAAAGGGCAAACCTCGGCTGGGCAGATTCGCTCATGCCAATAGACCCGTCGCAGCCTGCTTGTATCCTCGCCCGTCTTTTCCCACCACTCCTTCGCCGCCGCCACCACCCACAACCCCACTCATCCGCCTAGAGCGCCTGGCACCTTGGGCATCACCGCCAGCGGCTTCTCCTCTTTACACATGTGGACCCCCTCCCACGCCTCGAGGCAGAAGTATTTGTCGACGAGGAGATCCTCGCGCCCACAGCGGAAGACGAACGGGCCCGAAGGGACGCAGCTCGTCGAATTCAGCGGGACGGCGCCGGGCCCGCACGAGAGGAAGTCGGGCCCCGTGGAGATGCAGGTGCCGTTGCGCACGCGCTTGATGTCTTGCTTGGGCAGGCTCTTACAGAGCCAGGTGCCGACGCCGGTCATGACGCATTTCCCGCCGGTCGGCATCCAGTGGCTGAAGGGCTTCATGTCGGTGGTGTTCTTGGTCGTCTGTCGAGAGAAAGCGGAAGGGTCAGTCGAGGAGGGCCTCGGACGTCAATGGGACGGGGCTGTGTCTCCCTCCGTCGTGGGCATGGCCACCTGCCACCGAGGCCCCAACCGCGCAGGGGCGTCGTGGCGATGGCCGGAAACAAAGGGGATGCTACGAGAGGGTCCACGTACCGTTGATGCAGCCTGGACCGGTGCGACGCCCGTCAGGAGGGCCAGTCCCAGAACGAGGAGGCGCATCGCAAAATACATGTCGGCGGGATTGGATCTGGCTCAATGCCTGCGTGAGGCGTCGGAAATGGCGAGGCGGCGACAGCAACGACGATTGTGGCCAATCGTAGCAGTGAAGGGATCAGCTGGTCGGTCGCAGTCTCGATGGGTTCGATGGCAAATTCGTGGACGATTGCGCGGTGTTGAAAGATTGGCGTGGAGAATATGTAGCGGCCGCCTGTCCCTTTTCCGATCATTGCGGAGAAATGCTATGTCGCCGCAGATCGATGCCGCGCGGGTGCGGGATGACCGACCAGACCAGGGCGAAAGTCTGACCTCGGGACCGACCCGGGGCATTGCCAGGAGTACGTGCCTGATTATGTCAGCCACCGGTGGGCGCTTACGTCACCCAACGCCCAACGCCCAACGCCCACCGCTACTTACATCACCCACCGCAATTGCTGCCTCAGGCATTAATTGTTCCCCTTTTATCTTCTGTATATAGAATCTCCCTAGACGGAGGATGGGGACACATATCTTTCTATCGCCGCACAGGTGATATGCGGGAGGGCCTACTTGCATGCAGACGCAGCCAAAAATTTTATTGAAAGATGTGTCTCTCTCCTCATTCCCCATCTAGGAAAATTTCTATGTACAGAAGAGAAAGGGGGAAATGTTGATGCTCAGGCATCCACAGCGGCACCTGCCGTAGGTATGGTGCCTCAGGCACTACGCAGGCTCAGGTCACCCAGCGGTGGGTGACGTAAGCCGGTTACGGCAATACTTTCTATACAATTTTAGCTGCGTCTGCATGCAGGCAGCCCTTCCGCATATCGCCTGTGCGGCGATACAGGGGCTGCGCAACGTCACGTGACAGGGGCGGATGTCGGTGCGCGGTGACGACGGAGCGCACACTCTGCCATCTCCCGCCGCGTACTATCTTCAAACTCGAGGATCCGTACCTTATGGTTCCAGCTAAGGCCAACTTCAGGAAGGAGCTGGTAGCTAACTCCGTTGCGCCGCTTGGTCGCATACTGTTTCAACGAGTCCCAGTCTACAGATGCTAGAAACAGTTCAACGCGTGAACGATTCGGTCCTTCTGACAGGGAGGTATAATACTCCCAGCGGTACCCAGAAAAAGCACTTGGATCTGCGCAGGAAAAGTCAGTATACACACTCTCAACGGAAGGGTTGAAGTTCTACCGGGGGCTTCGTGGGACATGTTCCTCTCGATAGTGTCGTCGTTCGTTCCAGAGAGGGTCGAAGTAATGCAAACTTTCTTGAGCGCGAAAGCATGAAATATAGCTGTAGTAGGAATGAGAGGGGCGATGACTAGCCAACTCCATGTACTAGGTATACGTTGTGTAACACCAAGTTTTTCCAGTGATTCCATTACTTCAAGTGCTCATCATACTAATGGAAGGGAGTCTATGGCAACTAAATTGAGAAGTCTCAATTGCTAGATGAGATACCAATATCGACAAGTTTAGCCTATCTGCCGAAGGCCAGATATCCGATTTCTCATCTCCACCTCAGAAGACGGTGTCCGAAAAACAGATGTCGAGGAAGGAAACCCGTTCAGTGAGATGGAGTTCACAGCAATAGCAGGCCGGCTTTGGTTTTCGTTTTGAACGCGCTCTGGGAGCACGTGCAGCTGCCGCGACTTCCACCATGGTAGCAGGTTGTAGTAAACGCCGTAACCAAATACCCCGATCCAGAGCATCAACTCCACTGCATAAATAACAATGCCTAGAATATCATGGTCTGGTTGGAGCAAGACTGAAAGTAACAATGTCAAATCTCCCAAAGCGTACAAAGCTACGAAAACGAATGAGATGCCTCGCACGGAGCGATGAGTCCAGATATCGACATAGTGGCGGAGGACTCCTAGAGCCAAGAGCAAGGCAGTAAAAACGGCAACCAATGCCAATGGCCATCTAATGCCTCGGTTGACAGCTGTGTTGAGTGCAAATACTAGTCCGACCTCAATAACGCCCATCGTACACGAGATGGCGACAACTACTACCACGGCTCGTACAAAAGTCCAATGCCGTTCGTAGTAGTAGCACTGAGCCCAAGTGATTAAGCTCAGAAGCGCGAGGATCTGTGGTTGGACTTGTTACGCAATGCTTAGTTGAGAGATACTATTAGAGACGCCGAGGGGGATGCCTGCCCAGGCCCACAACATCATCATGGTCGGCTGGAGGCCGGTAGCATCGTGACGCCGGTAGTTGAGGATGATCTGGGGGATCAGCTGTATAGACCAGAATACCGCACCCGCCACGCCCAGGACATTTGCAGCGACGATGAAACCACTAAGAGAGGGATTTATGACAGAGTAAGAATATTGATATGCTCACTGTCGGAGAGAAAATGATCATTCCTGAGTATACACCCGCCTTGGAAAACTTCATCGAAGAGATGGAGCACCAGTCTAGCGCGAGAAAAACGCACGTGACCAGGTCCAGCGAAAGAACCATCTTGGCACCGCGCCCGGCGATGGAGAAATCCGCCCCGCAACCAACGCGATCCCGGCTTTTCCATCACGGCTTGGATGGCAGGCTCTATACCACTTCATTACAATATCGAGACCACTGTTCGGATTTTCATGAACGCATACTCCGTGGAGGTCAGTAGAAGACCTGTCCGGCTTGATTTTCCCTAGCAAACATTCTCGCGCATGTTGAAAGATTACGATTCGGTGAGGTGACCGGCGTGTTTTCCGAGCGGGCTTTGAAATTTAGTCACGATCCTCACTCGTGGCCCCATGTCCCCTCGACATCTTCCTTCCGGGCAGGAGATATTCCTGCAGCTCACCACGTTATCTTGGCATCAGGATATCGCAAAATCCAGTAAGCTCTCCTGGGATGATAAAGATTCCTGGCAGTCATGCAAGTGACATTTACATATGTCCTTACTGGCCGAGATGTTTTGGTGGAGGAAATAAGCGGCTTGGTACCGAACGGACGGGAATGGGCCTCCCGGACACGACAACGCCGCACGTGGGCGTTGCCGCGTTGCCGCGTTGGCGGTCCATTTGGGAGATTTTCCATCATCTCTCGTGGCAGAAAACATCATGCCAAGCGGCTAGACCACGAGGCGAGATCCAACGATTCAGCCAACAACCTTGTCGAATAGGCGCGGCCGGAATGTCACTGTCTCGGTCATGGCTTAAATCAACCGAGTCATCTGCTGACCGGACGCCAGATGTTCCAACCATGAGCGGCCGCTAGACTTGCCAAGCAATAAACAGATTGGTGAAAGAATGAACCCATCCCGCTGCCAAAATGATCACAGAAGGAGATGCACAGCACCACACGATGTTGGCCGGATACATATACTACGTCGTTGGCCTACAGAGTGAAATCATGCCCAATCTCCATGCTTCCCTGGTCTCTCCATTACTCCCGAAATACATTTCGGAGTATCGAAGCGACCTCAATCCATTAAGCGGTGACCATATCTCAGCCCCAGCATGCGTTCTGCCCTTCTTGCAACGGCCATCATCGGTCTGGTTGCGGCCTTCCCATCTCCACAAGACATCGACTTTGATCTAGCATATGCCCTGCCGAATCCTACCTTCACAGAAGCTGTGGGAGTTACAGCTCAGACGGTTGCGTACAACCCGAGCACGGTCTATGCGGCAGCTGCAGCACAAGTCACCCAAAGCGTCACCGACTCCACTGCTGCTGTTGCTGCCACAGATGCCACTCCTGTTGAGAAACGAGCAGCTGCGTGTGCTTCGCAGCCCGTGGGCTATGGTCCGGTGCCGAGCCCGGATACTGTGTCTGCATTCCTCGCCTTGCCAGCGTACTCCCAAGCTGCTATTGCGGCTTCGGCTCCAAGTGGATATGTCCAACAATTCTCTAATCTTCAGGCTTCCAACAATGCGTGAGTGGAAACGATCTCGCTAGGTGTGTGGCTTGGGCAATACTGATGGGCATCACAGGTACGGGTATCTTGGCTACACTACCTTGAAATCTTACGACGTCAACCTATGCGCGGCCAAGTGTAACGCCATCAATGGGTGTAAGTGTCTCTGACAGTAAAATCTCGTCTCGGAACATTGTCCTGACGTAGCATTCAGGTATCTCGATCAACATTCTTTACGAGCGCTCTCCATCTCTCGAGCCTGGTTCAGGCGACTCAGGTTGTGCTGATCCTGCAAGCACAACATTAATCAAGTGCGTCTTTTGGGGAGGACCGGTTTCGACTGGAAATGCCGTGAATCGTGGACAGTGGCGCAACAAGTTCCAGGTCGTCATCGCCGGCTCCAATGGCTACACCAATGCTTCGGTCGCCTCAGTACCCGGCTACAGCCCAGCAACACCTCTTGGAAACGCTGCTATCAACGCTCCATACGACAAATTCGGTTACAGCTCTTACCTAGGCGTGGCCATGTTCATTGGCTCGTTTGACGCAGCACTCTGTGCTAAAGCCTGCTCAGAGAAGAGTGCTCATGCGATCGCTCATCCACCTACGGACGGCACTCCGGTTCAGACTTGCCAATTCTTCAACACCTACATCTTGTACATCAACACCACGAATAATGTTCAAGGTCAATACTGTGCCATGTATGCACAGTCCTGGGGCTCACAATATGCTACCAATGTCGGGCAATATCGTGGCAACGACAATTTCAAGATTCAATACAGCTTCTCGTACAGCAACATTACTAACCCCGGCACGCCAAACCCTCTAGCTGCCGTCTATCAAGCTCGTAACGACATTCAATGGCCTAGCAACTCGGCTCAGCCGTACTGCTCATCCATTCTCGGCTACACGACTCCCGTGGTCACTACTACCATTGTCGCCACCTCAACTCCACTCACTACGACAACGACCACGATAATTCAAACCGACCTGACTACTACCACCATCGTCAAGCCAACGACAACGACAACGACTGTGACGTCAACCATAGTCGGCGCGGCTAAGCGTGACGTTGGTGTAATTCCGACTGAATGGACAACCATTGACGGTATCCGAGCTAAGGTCTTGCCGAGCGTTTTCGGACCATCCACTACGGAGGCGGTCAAGAGACGTGAAATTGTGCTTCCACAAGTTCTGAGCAAGTATCCCGCAAGTATCATAAGCTCGGGCTGTGTTCTAGCCGCCACCCCTGTGACCATTACCAGCACTGCTACCAGCCTCGTCACATCAACGCTAGCCACGGTCTTCTCAACTGAAATCCAGCACACCACGACAACCGCCACCGCAAGTGCGACGTCGGAGCCGATCTTCACAGAAACCGCTGTTGCGACCTGCACAGCATCGTACAAATTCAGAATCGCCGGTGGCCGGCACGATGGCGAATACGTCGTGGGCAACGAGCCTCTCAACAACGACGAAGTCAACTATGGGGTCCTGTATCCTATCACTTTACTAGAGGCAGCCCCCGCCTACACTATTCGTGCCGACGGCCGCATTTCCGCTCTTTCCCGGCCGTATGGCTGGACTGTATACAACGGCGCCTGGTTAAGTAATATACTTACGATGACCGACTTCTCTGCTGCCATCTACGGTTGGAACTTCCTCCGCTGCTCCATCGACACTAGTAGGGAAGTCGGATCGGGGGCGGTAGGTGTCCTGTCGTGCCGACAGAGCAATGGAGCTCCGTCCACATTCGTGACTTGCACGAGCCTGGACTACGGCGTGTTCGCGTCGGCGGACATCTCGATCGCGGAATCTTCCAGCTATGGCTGCACGGGGGTGACGTTGCAGGCCATTCCGGTTTGCGCGTGAGCAGGATGCAATCACACAATTGTTGTTGGTACATGTGACTTTGAAGCCGCTCGGCACACAACGCATCATCGCAACCTGTTCAACATCTGATTTTAAATCCAAGCCATCACTTCAATTACTCTTCGAGATGATTAGAAACTCGTTGTCTTTGTGTAGCCTGCCGAGTTGTTGCGACGTCATGCTTTAGAGGAGGATCTGAAGAGATATGTTGACTAATCATTGCCAGGCGCGATGGGCAGTAGTGTAGAAACTCCTAGGTGTAAATACATATAGACTAGTCATCGACTCCTATCAACATGTGAGAGCTGAGCCATTTCGGCAGTGAACTCGTCAATCGCCAGGCTTATGGATACAGACGGGCGTACAGCTTCCTTAAAGATTAGTCAAGGAGTGACACACGTTCGTGAGGGAATGAATCGTCCGAGGGACCACTTCGAAACAACTCATTATTCACCAAACGTAGACTCAAGTGACAACAAACGCTTCTCCAACCCGTTCCACACAGCTGGCGCAAAGAATCCCGCTATCCAATAATTACCGTGGTGGTCTCGCCCCAGAGTAACGATGGTGTTATTGGTAGAGAAGAGCCGACCGCTCCGCAGACCCCCAATAACAAATGAAGCACGTCCGGGTGAAGCCGGGCCTGATGACTCCTCAACGACCGCTTCAGGGAAACTCATATCAAACAAGCGAGCATGCACACATCAACAGAAGCTGGACGATCTTTCCCTTGAAGCCGGCCGAAGAAGCCGGCCGAAGAAGCCGGCCGAAGAGGTGGCGTGGAAATGGTGGAAGAGGCTTCAAGACGAACACCACGCCGATGCGCTGCGACTGTCGCTATCACGAGGATATAGTCCCATTTGTATGGCTGCATGAAGCACTATCATTAACGTCACCTTGTGCTCGCGCACCAAGCTGCGGTGGCCACAACACAGGCTCTGGGTACAACGAATGATTTCCACTGACGAGCTTAGACCGATAATTGAAACATGACATCCCGTAAAACACCGGCATCGCTGCCTTCCGCGCTCTGCAAGATGGCGTCCTGTGAAAGCACACGATCAACGAGAAGCTTGCTGCAGGAGGTTCGTGCGATACTGCCACTGCTGTTCCTGATGATCGCCAGATCCTTGGGGAACGCATCTGGGTTATTGATCAGTCCGGGTGATGGGGACGGCTGCCGTGTCCACCGATTCCCCAAATCCATTAGGCCCGATGCGGTAGCCGTCTAGCTTCGTCTTACGCGTGACGTAGCAAATTTTCAGGTTGAATGAGGTCCCACATGCACAGTATTGCTCCACGGAAATGAAGTAAAGCTGGTCAGCGAAGGCGTTTAGCCAGTTCGCATGCTCAAGAGACGGCCTGTCTGGTCGTGCTGGCCGTGTGACGATTCACAGACCGTCCAGGCGCGCACAACCTGCGTTCGATCGTGTTGCGTAGACTTTCATCGTAGTCGTGGCGTCCTGTATCCCGAGCATCAATGGGTTTGTCTTGAATGAGTTGATCCCCGGGACAATTGCGCAACCTCCTTGGCCCGCCACAAGCATCCACTGAGTTTGGCGGAGGAACAGGGTTCAATCATCCTCGCAGCGTGCAGTCGTTTGAACAGTGTTAAAGAAGTCCGCGACGAATCAGAGCTCTCCCGGACCATCAAGCTCATCGACCATACTGTAATTTCCTAGGCTCGTGCTTCGGAGACTTGAAAATGGTTGATGGCATGCCGCATACCGACTTGTGATGTTGTGACCTTTCACTGGTAAACCCCTTGGCACACACGCACACCACATTCTGTATATTAGATATCCCTCCCCTCACACGTAGATAGCAATGTAAGCATGCTACTCACACATTTCAAATCGGAGGGACGAGAAAGCAAGGTGGTACGCGGGTGAATTGGAGATCTAGCAGGCCTTGCACGGCGAATCGGTCGACATTGTAGGGAAACGTGCACACCGCCGAGAGAGCATTTAGGGAAATAACACGCTTGGAACTAGTGGGGCAACATCCCTTATTGGTTCGACTATGAATGCGTCTTGCGCTCTCGACAAATCCGCCATTCTGCGCTACCAAAGGATCGCCCAGTTCAAACAACCATTGATAATGAACATGGAGCTTTCATACAAGCAAGACTCGGAATTGTGTCCCGAATCGAAATCCAATCAATCTTGAGCGAGCACATCAGCTTACAGCTCGCCGATGCCTTAGTCAATCCGAAGTACAGTCGGAGCAGACGCGAATGGTACTACGACCCTCACACGAGTGACGAGGATCCCCAGTCGAGCCTGCGCGAGGCAGCCGACGCGTTGCGCCATCTAGTAGACCTGCTTTGCGTATTCGTCGCCGATATTGCCGCAGACCTCCTCGCCCCAGGTCGTGCGCCAGTAAGTCTTGTTCCAGTCCTTGATGAAGATATAACCCGACTTCCATGCTCCACAGGTGTTGTCCATCTGGACGTTGAACTGGTTGATCTCGTCGTAGCTGCCGTATACTTTCTGTATCAAGCGCAACTGGTTAGAACAATGACCTGCTTAAACAGACAAATCAGACTTACTGCCTTTGAAAAGGAGGGATCACTATTGTAGGTGCAAAGAGCCAACAAGGAATCACCGTAGTGACAGTATAAAATTTGCCCTAGGGAATCGCCCCCCACGTCCAAGGTATTAAATTGGCCTGAATATGAGTTGAGCCAGTTGCCGAGACAGTCCTGGACATGTCGGTAGGTCCCATCTTGGGGGATGTCCCGACCGGTACAGACAGGAGCTCCCGGCAAATCACGGGTCTGGAGCTCAGGAGCCGTCACGTCAGGATCGGCCAGGCGTCGCGTGACGGGCTGCCCCGCTCCATCGAAGCTGACACTGTAGACGCCATCCGGCTGGTCGGTTGGAGGAGTGTATGGAATCGCTGAGGCCGCCGCGACCAGAGTTGCAATAGTGGGGACGGAGAACTTCATGGTGTGATAAGTGAATGCTCAAATGATGTGTAGGAGTGTCGTTTGGTGAAAAGAGTATTGATAGATGGTGCGATTGCGCTTCCTTTATATCTAGAAGAGAGTGGGGTCTTCCGACTAGGACTGCTCGTTGTAGAACATGAGAGATCAAGGCCAACAAGCCTTGACAGCAGCTGCTGTCAGACCCCTGCGGTCACACCCCTGCGGTCTTTTTGCAGCGTGAACCGGACGGTGGAAGCTGACCACGGAATTTCAACGGGCTCTAGTGACCACACGTCAGCACTGCTTGCGTCAAAGATGTTGGCTGTGGGATAAGTGCCATCGTTGGACGACGCCGCCTTGTCACTCCCTTAGCGCTTACGCCAAACGCCAAGGACGCGAAGAGTTGGTTGGTTTTCTTCAATAACCGCGAACGGCGATGATCTGCGAGCTGCCGACCGCAACAACATCGGCATTCAATGCATATCCAACGAGTCATGGTCTGTTTCAAGCACTTACTGCAAGGTGTTGGGGCGGAGCCTCCAGCAACGAAAATACTTTTAGGGCTGCCGCGGCTGACGATCAGCGACCCACGTGCCGAGCCATGTATGATGATATAGCCCTGGATTGGGAAATAGGCTACCAATATAGCCCTAGACCGAGAGATAAGCTGCTAATATAGCCCTACACAGGGAAAAATGCTGCTAACAGAAATAACCTATAGCGCGAGGTTGAGAAAAATGGCGGATCATAACTATAGATTCCGCACGGTCGGATCTGACGCAATGTCGATCATGCCCCCTGTTAGTCGACTTAAAGCCGCACCCTTGCTTAAGGCGGAGATGATCTTTGCTCATCTGACAGCTCCCAACATAGTGAGCACTCTTTATACACGTGCGCATCGAGCCTATCGCACATGCAATTCGCCTCAACAAAGCATCTGCATGCCTGTTCGAACCGGCTCTAGCGTGAAGCCAGCGCTCAAGTCCTTGTTACGATCCTGGAGCGGACCGGAGCAGACAGCCACGCAAGAGCACTGATCCAAGTCACGTGTCGCCAACCTCAGGGTCACACACCCCACAGAACCACGATACAAGCAAGGGTTAGGAGAACCCTAAGGAGCAGAGCTTTGGAGCAGCTGCCTGAGCCAGAGCGTTGATCCAGGAGCAGGACTTTAGAGCAGACGCCAGAGCCAGAGCACCGCTCCAGATCAGAGCACTGGAGTCGCTAGCGACTCCAAGTCACTGATCCACACATTTCCTTTGTACCTAACTTACATATATAGGTAGGACGAATGGACCTTATGTCTGTTCGTGTTGAACTCATGTTACCAACTTACCCATTGGAATACAAAGCCCCTTCTCATTTCCCTATTACACCACTCATTCTCAAGAAGCCACCTCGAGTAAACCGCCTTTGGCAGTTGACCCGTAACAGTCCTCTCCTTGTCACGCCTGTCCATAGCAAGCGCGCGATGGAATGCTAAGAAGCCACAATGATGTCCTTCCAGCGGCCAAGACACCAACTTCGTCCGGTATCGTTGCGGAAGGCCCACAATTCTAAGAAGGCAACGGGTACCGGCAAAGTTCTGCCCCAGCCACCATTGCGGACTTGTTGGACGTTGGAAAGTGTCTGACGACATCAATCAAACAGAGACCCGGAAGCTGAAGAAGGAAGAAGCTGCATCATCGTGACTCCCAAGAACACCCAGGTATAAAGGGAGCATTGTTGCCCCATCTCCGATAGACACTCATCACAGATCAGCAACTCTCGTACGAATATCCACGTACATTTCTTCCACTATTCCATACGTCGCGCACACGGTCCCGTTCTCTTCAAACATGAAATTCACTGCCATTGCGACCCTCGTCGCGGCTGTTGCCGCCATCCCTTACTCTCCTCCCGCCGACCAGCCTGATGGCGTCTACAGTGTCAACTTCGACGAGGCTGGCCAGCCTCTCGTGCAACGCTTGGCCGATCCTAACTATGCTCCCGCCGCTGAGTCTCAAGTTGGCGAGGCTCAAGCTGTCGAGGCTGAAGCGACTCCTCAGCTGCTCAAGAGAGCTCGTGAACCTTACTGTAGCGGTCTATACATTCCTCAAGATGGCTCGTACAAGCGAGTTCAAGACTGCCTAGGCAACTGGCTGGATGCGAACTCAGGCAATGTGAAAAGGGACGGCGGTGCCGTGATCTACTGTCGCTCAGGCGATACTTTTTTGGCCCTATGCAGCTATCCCGAGGTAAGTCTGCATCATTCAAAACTGGGCGTCATCACGTCTGACTAGTCAACCGCAGACGATATATGGCAGCTCCAAGGAGATTACAAACTTTAACGCAAACATGGACGTAACATGTGGCGCCTGGAAGTCTGGCTACGTCTTCTATGATGAATGGAACAAATCTTACTATCGCACAATGGCGGCCGAGCCCATCTGCACCAACATCGACGCTCATGTCCAGCTGCCTTCTTGAATGCAGGCACCAGATCAGCATGGTTTGGATCAAAATTGCCGGAATTTTGACTCCGGCTTGACCTGTCGCGGCGAGGGGTGCCGAAATAGTAGTTCGGCTTTGTGCAAAACCCCCTGTTCCGGGCTGAATTTTGTTGGAGCGGAGATGCAAGCGATTGATCGGTCTGTAGCAAGCAGTAAGTAGCAAAGCAGCAGGGAATTTCCAATAGTTCTAGAGATCGAAATACATTGCGGCCTTTAATTTCATGGTATCAGTCTCATGAGATGTGCTCTCCGACTAAGTGAGAGACTTCAAGTGCAGCGTTTCAAGCTCTCCTCGGACATTTCTTATTGTCGCGACTGCATTAAGAACAATCACCTCCCAATGATGTGGCTGAAAGGGATTCGAAATCCCCAGGCAATTTCATTTCTCTCGATGCGAGTACGAATACCGACTAGAGGGTTCCAGTGCGCCAATACCTCGCAACACGCAAGCCATGATATCATGCAATTAGCACAGCGGTTGCAGATTTTATTTCGTGTAGAGATGGAATAATCAATCCGACGACAACATGGGAGTGCATCAATAGGCAAACAGTAACATCCTCCAGGTCCTTCATCCCAGTTTGATGAAGATAGATGTATATTCTGTCGTCATTATAAATCAAATGGCTCATACGCATGAGAGATGGACGTTAAAGTGCATCTTCGGAGTCTCACTTCGATGGCCGTATCGTGGAATTCAATAAAATGCTTGTCTCTGCTTGACGAGCTATGTGTTCATAGGGTCGATCTAGGCTTTGGGGTTATTCCAAGGAAGTATCTTACCGCTCAACCACGAATAAGGAAGATACAGATACAAAGAACAAGCTTCTGCTGTCAAATTGTCAATACGACAAGTCGTCGTCGCGTCGCAAAGCCAGAGCAGAGCCAGCGAGGTAGCTAGCCCTCAGCCAGCCAGCCAGCCCTGCTAGGCTCAATTTCATTTAAAACAGCCCTTTTTGTCGGTTTTGCCCTCGGAGGGCCTAGAGAACGACGAGGAGAACAAGCTCGTGTTTTCAAGTTATCTATACGACGACGAATCGTCGTATTATAGAGTCAGAGGAATAGAGGTGTTTTGAACTATATCAACCTCGTACTCGGGTACTTTCTACAGACTATCCCTCTATGCCTCAAATTCACGTTGCCATCTTTTTAGACAAAGTCAATTGACTCTAGAGCCGAGGCTAGTTTCTAGATGCTATAGTCATATAGATTAATAGTAGGCATTCAAAATATCAAAAAGTGATGGGCTTTTCGCGCAATTTGATCTTAGGCGCTCCGTAGAGGGTTGGTTTTTGGTACGCGAGTCATGTTGCCCGCGGATGTGCGTCTGACTTGGGAGGTAGCGTTCAACACGAAAAACACCTGGACATCTGTAAACGCCTGATTTCCCTTCTTAGCAACCTCGAAGAATAGTGCAGCCCGGGCGCGGTAGTTTGATGTCACCGTTGAGTCGAAGCATTTCAATCCGCTAATTACGGATTGACCTGTATTGCGCTACCGTATGGACACCCACCCAGGCGGCGGTCGTCTATCAGAGCACGTAAATGCTCTAATCCGCACGTCATTCCGCCATCACTTGGCCTCGTCGACGCATATTTGCTACCGCGTCCAACCTGCTCTTTCATTCTTCGAAGCAGGACGTTGAAGTCTCCCTCACCGTCGTCGCCTCAACAAAGTGCTGGGAAACCTAACATCACCCCACACACCATCGTCTATGACACATATCATAATGTGGAAGGCCAAAACTCACGGCTTTGGTCAGCAGTCATATATTCACGGACGAAAAGTAGAGATGGAGTTGATGTCACTGGCCAAGGCAAAGAAACCGCCCTCAACGATTCTGAAAAAAGAAGACAAAAAGTCGTTTTAGTCCGCAATACAGCTCTGTTATCATCTTGCCACTGCGAACTATCGTTCAAGATAGCGCCTGAGTTTCAGCAGTCCAAGTTCCAGTATATGCGGTCCTGATACGACTGACAAGCCTCAATCGCCCTTTGATGCTTCATAAAGGTCTGATCCACCGTGTCGAGATGGGTATTGAGCGAAGCAATTATTGGCGTGATGATTTTTGCTGTTTCAACGCCGTATCGTCTCAAGGTGCCTTCGAAATCAGGCTCCGTCCACGGGCCAAAGCCAACATCTGGTCTGTCGAACGTGGACAGCACCTTTGTGGTTCCCGCAGTGTCAGTGGATGTATGTGGAAGTTGATCCGCGATTTTGAGCCCCGAGAAACTTACAACGTTGTGTGGCCTTAATTGATCATTAATTTTATCAATCCACTTTACCGCTTGGTCCGCAATGCGAGCCTTGACGGCCAAAGCGACTGCCTTCTCAGCCTCCGACACGTCCCGCCCAAACATCTGATCTGCGTCTGCACCGGCGTCAAACCGGAGTGTCTGAAGGCGATCGATGATCGGCTCAAAGATCTTAGAGAAGCCGGGCTGTTGGGCCTTGACCGCTTTAGCGTCCGGGAATACGCTGGGCAGCAGCTTGTTCGGATCATCCGCGAACTTATATCCTGAGTTGCGCAGCTCGCGGGCCGTAGTATCAATGTCGCTGGGGGATAGTTAGCCCAGTACCGAGCTAGTGCAGCGAGGATCTCATACGGGAAAAGATCGTGTCCGGCCGAAGTCCTCCCTTGCCATACTTTCTTCATCTGAATGTGCTTGCAGAACTCGTCGAAATAGCAGCTGCCATCCGGTACAGTGCCTCTACAGCCTGGCGCGACGAGAGTTTTCCCGTTGCCGAGCCGAAGGACTTCCATGCGGTAGACATGCCACTCAATCATGAGGGTGTAAGGACCAGCGCGAACACTAGCGTGGACACCAGTAAGCAGCTGAAATAAAGCGAGTGACAAGATGAAAAAATTCATGATTGGAACGAGTTGAGACTTGCGAGTTGTTGGATGACATACTCAAAGAAATCGGGGGGCGCGAACACGCCCTTTTCAAACATTATGTGTTGATGGAAGAAACATAACTAGGATCGCTTCCATCTCCTGACTTTCCTGCACAAGTGTGCGCTCAACATGTGTCCTTCATGTTCGTGATAGCAATGTTCGCGCAACACTAGGGAAAGAGCGCATTAGGAAAAGCTAGCATCTAGCGCATGATAGTGAGGGCGCTGACCACCATCTCATTCATCTAAGCTTCGCCTCCAGTCGAGGAGTTGCTTCACTTCGCAGGAATATTGCCAGGCGTTGTTGGTGGAGGACTATCGTCAGGCGTCGTTGGTGGGCGAGGCTTGTCAGACATGTTGGTAGAGAGATAGCGGCGCCGTTCTGGAAGTGGTTCGTCTCCACGTGCGATATGCAGCCGACGGTCAGCGTAGGGGCTGTAAAGTGAAGGAGAAGAGCTCGAGCTGGTGGCCACAAAAGTACGCTAAACCAGATAGGTTGTTATCGGTAGCCGCCTCTTCAGCTATTTCCGCCCGACGCGGCCCGAGCAAAGGCCCTAGGCACGTATGAATCGAAGTAGGGTTTTTGAAAAAAGCCGGGATGCTCCGATGTTCTAGGCTTGGTCGGCATGAATCAACTAAATATAGCCCGTTGGAACCTAATCGTCGAAAAAGCCAGGTTCAGAAGGGATCAGCATGCGTGGCGCTTATCAAGAGCTTTATCGAAGCTTCAAATAGCTTGAACAGCTTAATAGTGGAGGTCTCAAAGCACGTGGCGCGAAGGAGAAGGCGCTAGAGTGGACACAACATCACCTCAACGCTGCTTGGCCGATGGCCTATCTGGAGAACACGAAGAGCAGGGCCAAGATGGGCCTAAGATTTTCATACACGAGAGACGGGACCAACATGTGCTTGAGATTAGCATACTCGAAGAAGTCTCGTTCCTTCCTTCGACCAAGATAGCAAACCCTGCGAGGGGTCGTGTCCTAACAATGCATTCTTGCACAGCCGCGGACAGTCTTCGACATTGCAAATCGATGGAGACTTTTACCAGATCTCGTGGTTATAAGACATCTGGATGGTCCCGTATCCAGAAACAACTTAACACTCATTCAGTTCCTTTCTGGGACAACAGCACTCATTCACCATGACACGGACTATGCATCGCACAAGGTCGCTCTCTTCTTACATCTTTCTTTTCTTCACTCTCTGCGGTAAGTTTAAATGCTTCTCTCAGAGGACACGCATGTTTACTCACAATTCCCTGAAGCCTTCGCACGTTCGGCATTTCTGCCAAGTACCCATACCTCACCGGACGCTCGCACCATACCCTACGTGAAGCCCCGCGGCAATACCGATTTGAGGATTCTCTGTCTTGGAGCTTCAATTACCTTCGGTGTAGGATCAACTACCGGCAATGGCTATCGGAAGGAGCTACGAGACATGCTTACGGCAGCTGGTGCTACGGTCGAATACGTAGGCACTCAAACCTCGGGCAACATGGCTAATAACGCAAACGAGGGCTATCCTGGATTCCGGATTGACCAGGTCATGGGCTTTGCATGGAACTCATATGGCTACTGGCCAAACGTGGTCCTCGTTCATCTCGGGACTAACGACTTCGTTCAGGGTTACGATCCTCAGACTTCCGCCGACTCGCTAGGCACGCTTATTGATCAAGTGTACCAGGCTATCGGCTCTTCAAATCCTCTTGTGGTGGTCTCAAAGCTGCTGCCTAACAACAGAACCACAACAGAGAGTGGAATCCAGAAATTCAACGGTCTACTCGACGGCATTGTTAGCTCTCGGGTCAAGTCAGGAAAGAATGTCCTTCTAGTTGACATGCATTCTAGCGATTTCAGCCTTGCCGACATTGGGCCGGATGGTACACATCCAACAGACGCTGGTTTCCACAAGATGGCGGGAGTGTGGACGACTGCTATCAAGTCTGCTCTCGATGCGAATAAGATATCAAGCCCCAAGAACAACGGCCTCGCCAAAAGCACAACAAATAACGTCCATTGTGCAGTCTCTACTTCCGGCGTCAGTCGCCCAAGCACCGTGCAGTACGGATTCGGAAACAAGACGGCAATCTTTGCAGGTGCCTGGACAAACATTGGGATCGTCATGAACCACACCTCACCTAACGCAACAGGCGTGTATTGGGCCAAGCTGAATGGCGTCTCGGGCCTAGGGGATGACTACGTCTTCATCGACAAAGACGGATCCATGAAAGTCGCCTATAACAAGGGCGGGGAGACCTTTGGCGCTCTGAACAATGTCAATAAGCCTCCAGCTTGTGATTCTGCAGGTACGGCATTTGCTGAGATGAATGGTGATGGCCGAGACGACTTCTGCTGTATCTCGAGCGACGGAACGCTGCAGGTTTACACCACCTCTTCCGGACCGGCCTGGGGATCAGCTGGATTGACTCAACATGGCATTGGTGATCCCCGCGCTGGAATCTTCGTTGCGGACGTTGACGGGGATGGCCTCGGCGATTATGTCTCCGTCTCGAGTGGTGGACTTGTCTCGGTTTCGTACAATCGCGGCAATACCTGGACCAAGTTTTACCGGGTCTTCAAGATCCCGGACTTCAACGGCGGCGCAGATTACGCCGGACTTCGATTTGTGGACGTTAACGGAGATGGTTTGTCAGCGGTCATCACTACCTATCGAGCTCATGCTAACGTGTCTACAGGACGAGCCGACTGTGTGCGGCTAACTCAGTCTTACAGTGATGATGAGAATTACAATTACCAGGTCACGATCAGTGCATACATGAATTTTCCCGGCGGTTCAATAGTCGAGCCCTTTTTCATGGACTCTGGAATCATTATGCATCCAATTACCAACGCCGACCTGGGGATCAATCAAATGACCTTTGGCCGTGTCCGTGGAACCAAAAAATATGATCTTGCGACCCTCCATGATAGCGGTGCTATGAAGGTTCTCGAAAATCGAGGTTACAAAGGAATTGCCTACGGCCCTCGCTCTCGGTACTGCGACATGACAGGTTCTGGTAGTGACAGCTACTTGAGTATTGGACCGTCTGGTGCTCTCAAATTTTACCAGAACCTGCACAATTCTGGTACTCACATCAAGTTTGGTGAAATTCTCCCTGATCAAGGTTTGGCTGCCAACGATGTGCACCTTGCAGACCTCGACGGAGATTCGAGGTGCGACTACATCATCGTCAACAATAGAACTGGTTCGCTGCAGTGGCGGAAGAGCAACAGGCTCTTGCTGTCAGGAACGGGCGGCTCTCTGTCGTTGGCGGATCCCGTGTCGCTCGCTTTCTCGGATAAGCCTAGCTGCGACAGTGCTGGCGTCAGGTTCGCGGACGTTGATGGTGATGGTAATACACTCTTTCTATCATTACATCCTTACACCTACTGACCAGAAACACAGGTCGTGCCGATTACATCTGCGTCGGTACAACAGGGTACATCAGCATTAGACTGAACACAGGAGGTGGCTTCAAAACATCTCTACCGGTGATCGACGCCCGCGGGTTCCTTGGCACTGCTGACACCCGCGATCCTATAAATTTCGCCGATATTGACGGCGACGGCTACGCGGACCTTGTCTTCTTCGACACAAATGCTGGCACAATCACCGCAAGGCTCAACGTCAATAAAGGGCAATCGTTCGGAGAGGCACTGACAGTGTACTCGGACTCAACTCTGATCGGAGGATACGTGCGCTTCGCTAATCTAAACGGTTTGGGCCGCGCTGATTGGCTCAACATCAATCCTCTGTCTGCAAAGGCTAAGGTGTCGTCCAATCGTTGCCCGCCTCCGACACCGCCGACTGGAATCGGTTCCAACCCTAACCCGCCGTCCGGCCAAGCTCCCAGTACCGACCCCAACAACGATGGCGCCGGAGTTGATAATGATGGCGGGGATGATGATGATGACAGTAGCACCACCGACGACGGCGATGATGATGGCTACGGGCCGGAGGACTTCGAACCTTGCGACTATTCCAACAGCTACTCCAGCCTGGATGATCTCGCAGCTGCGGCCAAGAACATCAGAGGCGATTGCCTGCACGTTCACACCATGCAAGTACTCGGCGACATGCGTGACTCGGCATATGACTCATATGCTGACGCTAACAACGGTAAGTTCTTTTCGTTTTTGGATCAAACGACTTTGAATTTGTGAAATACACTGACTCTGATCACAGGCTACGACGCGGTCTTCGGCTACTATGAGACATACATCAAGAAAATGATCCCAGTGACCCTTATGGGTAGTTTCATGTTCACCTACGGGACCAACAACGACGGTAAATTCCGCGATCTAGGACCTGGAATGCAATACTTCGATTGTCAGGGCGGCCAGGACGGGAATGACAAGTTCTCCTGCAGTAGCCTCGCAGATACGAGTCGACACGACGAAATTCTGAAGTACCCCACAACGTTTATGCTACGGGACAAAGACGGCTATGCAGCTGCTATCCAAGACGCGGGGCTGGATCTGAGTTGGATATCATTCGATGACTACAAGTTGCATACGTCGATCGATGTCCAGACCCCGACCGCAGCAGGGCCCGGAGGCTCGGGACAGGGTTCAAGCACCTTTGATTACTACTACCAGTTCAAGAACTTCCCCATCATGAACGCGACCATGGTTGTGCCGAACCCGAAAGACATCCGTTGTGAAAGCTCTCGACTCGATCCCGGAGCTCAGGATTCAAATGGCCGCAACCCAACTCGACTTCATGCTTGGTCTGTGGAGCGGCGGCTCCCGTGCAGATGGAGCTGACACATATAGCATGCCTATTTTTATGCTGATGCAAGCTGTCGACAACATGGAACAGGCTAAGCAGCTCGGAATTCAAGAGAAACAAGAAGAAGATGCCGAAGCGGCGGCCGCGAAGAACGGAATCATACTCCTCATCAGCCTTCTGCTCCTCGTTGTCCCTGTCGTCGGGGAGGAAGTAGCCGTCGCCGCCGGACTCGTAACATTCGGCAGGTCGATCGCAATCGCTGGAGAGCTCGGCAATGGAGCACTAGCCATTTACGATAGCGTGTAGGACCCTAAGTCGGCCTTTGTCAACATCATGGGGATGTTGTTTGGTGTAGGTAGCATTGTGAAGGCTGCGAGGTCTGGGAGTGGACTAGGCGACATTGCGAAGCTCAAAAGAGGGATGTCGCTAGATTCGGTGGCGTCTTTTGGCAAGATTTTCAAGGACAATGATGCGAAGTTGACATCTATCCGGAACTTCTGCAAGAACAAGTGAACTGTCTCTTTTGGTGGAGGATTTCTTTTGGTAAAAGCTCCAGAGCGTCGCATCGCAATATCAAATCTCCTTGTGTTACACCCACGCATCACCTGAGACCTCTCAACAAACTGGGCGGTTTCTGCACCCTGTCAGCCATGGCGCTTGTTTCCTGGTGGTGGTGTAACAGGCATCGTCGGCTGATCAAGGAACAGCAAACAAGCGGATCAGTGACACTGCGAGAGGCGTAGAAGGGTACCAGAGCCTCTAATATATGTTCCACGTCCAGGTATGGCTTCGACAAATTACAATGGATTAGTATGAAGACAGCAGTCAGTGACTTGAGTCCCCGATTGTGACAGCGAGGCCTACCTGTGCGTCCATGCTTGAAAGGAGCACGTGGTCACGTCCGGATATCCAGGAGCTCTTGGGGCTCATGCCAAGCACGACTTGGATGCTGAAATCTCACCCATGACGTGGCCTGTCGAAGCTGCTCGAGATTGTCTTCTGCTATGCCTCAGGGAATAACAAAGCACTCTCCACTCAATGTCCGGTATCATCTCCGGGAAGTGCGTGCCTCCACTGCTCTCCTTCGACGTGTACGGAGACCTCCTACTGCAGACAACTTGATGGTATCGGAGACATGAACGCCCGTCCTGGCAAGAGAAGGCTGGGCGACAGCAATGCCTCTCGCCGCAAAGTACCTCGAGAAGTCGTAGAAAAGCGATCGAAGGGCAGATCTCTCGATGAAGATGCAGATCTCCGACGGGATTCTGAGGTCCGGAATGCAATCGTCGAAGTGTGGCAGATCTCGTTCGGGTACATTCGGCAAGTGCGACGGCCAACCACGTTGTTCCTGTCTATGATGCGCTTCTGCAGCTGCCAAGTCCTACCGAGAGTTGTAACTTTGCACGCCAGGCATTCGCGAAACAAAAGCCACAGTCTCCTAAGAACACATTGACGACGGAAATTCTTCGAGCCGTGCTGAGTCGGGACCTTCGTCGCAAGCAAACGTTGACTTTGACAATATTTCTTTTGTACTAGATTGATCAGCTTTCCTCTCAACCACTCTCAACAAGTTGACGTCCGAGATAAAGGACTGGTACAGCTCGATACACAAGGACGGCTGCACTTGTTGAGCTAGGTCGAGCATTGGGAAATCGTGTTTCCCGGCAACCGAAACGACGATTTCTCGTCGGGAACAGATGAGGACTGAAAATTTGCCAGAAGCTCTTTCTTCATGCAGTGGTGGCAATGAACCCGATGATCAAGGACCAAAATGCACGCGACACAAGGCTTCTGTCTACATTCGCGGTGGGTTTTCTGCGATATGTGCAAATGTTCTTACAAGATGTGACTAGTGACTCTAAGCAAAGGACATGAAGTCGATATGAAGGACGTGTAATCTCGCCGTAGAGTACTGGAAGCAGGGCTAGTAGAGCGAGGCGAAGCAGAAGTACAGGCTTTGCCCACTTTGCCAAGAGTGATGTTTCACTCGTCTGTAGTCACAAGATCATCATTTTTTATTACTACCTAAGGAAAGATTTTCCGCAGCATTGCAACGCTAACACATTACAAGGCTCTGCATCTCAAGAATAAATCTCCGTTCAGCCATCTATCCTCGCGTTCTTTGAATCCTCAAAACCAAGGAGCCACGTTCTCAAAGGAGATTCCAATCAGTGAGTATGGAACATGAATTGAACACAGGACAATGTAAGGTTGTCCTGTCTACCTATATAGCTGAGATACATACATGTGAAATAGGTTGCTCTGTTGTGAGAGCACACAGATCATTGGAGCAGGTCACCTGACCCTTAGGGTTGGGTGCCCTTTATGGCACTGGTGTTGTGAGTGCAGTGCCCGAGGTGCTGGTGCGGTCTGCGCTGGTGCGGACCGTAACACTAGCACGCGGAGACACTACTGCTGCCGCCAAGCCTAGAGCATAGGCCGCACAGCTCCTCGTAATTGCCGCAGACCTTGCGGCGATGTTACGGGTCAACTTCCTGTAAGAGAAGTTACTTGAAGGGATTGTTCTGGACAATGAACGTGTTCAGGGGATTGATGGGATTGTCTGATTTCAAACAGAAGGTTGGTAACACGAGTTCAACACGAGCAGACATAAGGTCTACTCGTACTGCCCATATATGTGAATTAGGTACAAAGGAAATGTGTGGATCAAAGTACTAGAGTTGCCAGCGACTCCATTATACTGATCCAGGAGTGAGGATCAAGAGCAGACCTCTGATACCAAGTCCTGCTCCTTAGGGTTAGCTAGTCACGTGTTCCTTAGTGTTACGGGTCAACTGCCAAAGGCGGTTTACTCGAGGGGCTTCTTGAGAATGAGTGGTTCTAGTAGGTGTTACGATCCCGAGAGGGATGGGAGAGCTGCATATGGATGCGGGACAACCAGTCGTTGCTGGCCCATGTCATGCAGCCCGAACCCTAAGGAAACACGTGACAACAAAAGATACGTAACACAGATACTTATGAGCGACACTCGCGGCCGCGCCTATCATCCGCGACGTTGCACATGTCGCACAACGATCTTGTACGCGCGCATGCGTACATGTCATTTGTACCTAGAGAACATATATAGGTAGGACGAGCAGACCTTATGTCGGCTCGTGTTGAACTCATGTTACCAACCTTCTGTTTGAAATCAGACAATCCCATCAATCCCCTGGACACGTTCATTGTCCAGAACAATCCCTTCAAGTAACTTCTCTTACAGGAAGTTGACCCGTAACACCGCCGTTGCTCAGACACAGCGCAACCTACGTTGTCCCCAGTAGTATTACAAACGCCCGCTACGACTAAGACGACTAAGACGACTAAGACAGCTACCACACCCGCTCCAAAGACCGCAGCTGCCACTAGGACAGTAGGCAAGACAATAGCCACGACAGCAACAAAGCCTAGAAAAGACGCTATTATGAAGACATAGTTGAAGACGCTAGAAACGACTACCACCCGCTCCAACGGCACTAATGACTCCAACACCAGCCGCGCCTTAACTATTACCGCCGAGTCAATTTGCGGTGGACGCAGTGCCGGCCGCGGACGTAGAGGACGTGCCAAAGCTACCACAGCGGCGCTGTCACGCCGCTCCACCCGCATTACAAAGAAGTCTAAAAAGACAACCTAAATGATAGATAGCGTCCCGCAATGATTTTCCGTGCTTTCCGACTCTGGTTTTGTAACCACCTGTGTCGTTGACCTGCTGGTCATGATTTCGTTCTGCTCTTGTTTACCTTGCATTTGCTTAAGTTACTACAACTATAATCCCTTTACGACGAGGACGTCGCCTTTTGCCTCGCTAAGGGGGGGACCTGTTACGGTTCCCTCCAAGGAGGACAAAGGGTCGTTGACTATGTAACAACTCTAGTCTATATAACACTCTTATGTTAGCAATCTGCGAATTCGCGCATTTTTCCCCATACAACGGGCTCGCGTTGAACCCGCGTGGGACTTGGCGAAATTTGCGGGATGTCCAGCCCCAGGTAATGCATAGGGTTGCCGTGGATGGGCCGGGCTGCAC